TCAGGAGAACGAAGCAAGCAGTTTGAGAACAGGTCGAGTGATGATCGGGCAAAACTAAAAGCCAGGCTTAGAATCACACGATCAAAATTCAGCAATTATGGTTAGCTTTGCTTTTCATAAATCTTTCAGGCTTATATTTTGCCACATGATTTAGAAATAGTAATTCTTGTATTTGCTCTTATTATACAAATAAAAATGTATGTGCCACAAATCTTGTTTTTTGACTCAGCAAAATCATTTTAACAAGAAAATATCAGTACAGCTTCCAAACTGTGATGAGTATTCTCTTCACGTTAGATAGTCCTTCGAATGTTTTCCATCAAATAAACATCAAAGACGTATTGGAATAAATACAAGTTTTTAAGTTGCGTCTATTGAGCTTATATTACAACAAATCGTATGTTTGGAGCCGGAAGGGCGATAGCTCGTAAACTTTAATACAGAGTTAATGCCCTAATGGCTATGAACATACGAAATTGTTTTTATAGACAGTGGTCTTCCTATACAAGTAGTTGCTGTTAGGACATCATTATACTCACGTGTTTTGAAAAAGATGTTGATATTATTTTGAATTGTGCGCTTTTCTCTATTTACAAAAGCTTTGTTGGAAAAGAATTTTGAAAGAAAAGATCAAAACAGAGACTTCTTCATATTTTGTTTTACCTACTGAATTATCGTTTACAGATAGAAGAAAATATTAGAAAACCATGTATATCTCTCCAGAAATGGAGGCAAATGTGACAATGATTATATTATTATTATGAGGAAATAAAGAAGACCAGAAATAGTTATTCAAATAAAATAAAAAATACTCACGAGTTTGTTGGATGGATGAGATGGTTATCTGAGATGAATGTTGCTGGTGATCAGAAGACTGGTGACATCTCCTTCAAGGAGCCAGCCTTTTATAGAACCTCTTCCCGTGGTAGCAATCTGATAAAGATATCATCATCATCATCATCATCATCATGATCCTCATCATGATCATAACCATAATCATCATCTTGATTATCGTCATAGCATCTCCGAGATTTCTTATAGAACGCGATTGAACAATAAAATCGGTTTATAATGGAGTGTGGAAGTAAGTTCTTACATAGATTGACATGATTTGATGTTCACGGAAGCGAAATAAAATGATGATGCGTCAAAAAAGTGAATTCGCCCTTGAAAAGTTAGAGATAAGGAAGATGATTAAAAGATTTAGATCATTAATTGTGTTTGTCACGTTATGACCAGGTCATGAATACTTTGACTTACCCCAGATTGTATGGATGAGCGACACAGATGACCTTTGTATAAATTGGATGTTTTGCGGAATAAGATCTGAACGAATTATAATCATGACAAACTGGGCAAAATATCATAATTAATGTAGTTTCTCATGGTGATCGATCAATCTAATCTTTTTTCTAATACCAAATTCGATTCAGTTATACCGAGTAAAGCTGGTTTAGCACAATAGGGAACATTTTTGTTACTCTACGGGATTACAAAAGAGGTTAAAAGAGCCTTCCTGACATAGCAACACTTGGCGTTTATTAAAAATAGATATATTGTTCCTGTATGGAGGGTAGAGGCTCTTTCTCCTTGTCATGAAGGACAAACCCTTTCAATATCCCAACAGGATAAGAGTAGGATAGGATTGTAGTGTGATTTCAAGAGAGGAAAACATCTTCAAGAAATGTCAAAACAATGCTGGGAAATTAAAATGAAGATAATATACCATTTTTAAATCAATAGGGAATGTATAAGGTTAAAATATTTAGGATTTTGGCACAAATGCAATCGTTTACCCCCACGCTGTCGGGGCCACCTTAGCTGTCTCTAAAAGTGTGGTGTAAAAATAATAATAATAATAATATTCCGCTTTTACGTAGCGCCTGATACATCTACGGTGTCTCTAAGTGCTATTGGTCGGGGGACATATTGCAAAATATTTAGAATATAAAATTGGTCATAGAATAGGATTATCGATTTAAATGACAATCATAATAATTTCACTTTCATCTTCATATAAAATAGAGGTAAAAGATCAATTAAATATGTGGCTGAAAATTAGTTGATTTATCATTATAATGCAGTATAAAAAACAAATGATTTTAAATTAATCATTCCAAAATACCTAATTATGAGTGAATCAAAGAACAGTGTTAGATTTACTTAGGACATGTGCATATTACTTAAATCACATGAAAGGAAAAAGAAGGAAAACAAAAAGTTGTTTTTTGTAGTGCGTTGACATGGAGTTGTCGCATTCTGCATACATATACATAGGAACTATTTGTATAACAGTGCCCCTAATTAGGTGATTAATATATTGTGCTTAGTCAAATGACAAGGTATCGCAGCCGACAAGCGAAGAGAGATATACTTTTCCATGTACGTAATTTTAATATTCATTCATTATCCCGATTATTATTATGTGTTTGTTCAATGGTGCGATATCTCTAATGATGCATGGCTTCCATGGATGGGTTGTCACGTGTGTTATTTATCTAAGCCTTTATATATGACGGAGTTTGTATGTCGTCAATGCAATTACTAATTATGCAAATTAGGAAAGTGAAAATGAAAGGGCAAGGATAGAGAGAGAGAGAGAGAGAGAGAGAGAGAGAGAGAGAGAGAGAGAGAATAGAAGAGCGATAGCTAGATAGAGAGAGAGAGAGAGAGAGAGAGAGAGAGAGAGAGAGAAAGAGAGAGAGAGAGAGAGAGATAAGAGAAAGAGCGGTAGGTTGCTATATAAATATAAGGTAGAGAGAGAGAGAGAGGGGGAGGGAGAGAGAGAAAGGAAGAAAGAGAGGGAGAGAGAGAGGGAGGGAGAGAGAGATAGGAAGAAAGAGAGGGAGAGAGAGAGAGAGAGAGAGAGGGAGAGAAAAAGGAAGAAAGAGAGAGAGAGAGAGAGAGAGAGAGAGAGAGAGAGATAACACATCTACCTCTGCATCAATCTTTCTTCTCTCTCTATAACTTGCATCATCTAGTCTTCTTCTCTCGTTCTTCACTCTGTCTAGATATCATACTTCTGTTTCATTCTAGTTCTATCCTTTTTCAGCTCTTCTTCTCCTTTATCTCTCACCTCCGTTTGTATCATCATTACTTTCACTACCGAATCCCTCTTTAATTTTGTTTTATATCTCCAATTTTCTCTGTATCTGTCCCTTTTCGCCCTGTTTAAAGGCTTACCTCTGTATTTAAAAACAAATCTTGTTCTCCGTATTTTCTCTTTGTAGTCTCCCCCACCCCTCCCTCTCTCTCTCCCCTCGGTAGTATATGAAGTACCATTGTATCATTTTCTTGTTCTGCCCGCCCCCCCCCTCCCACCCCCTCACATTCTCTTTTCCCTCTGTCTCTTTCCATGGAATAATACATACATTTACCCTATATCACTTTCATGTACTGTCTACCTTTCTCTCTCCCCCCCCCCCCCATTTGCTTCTATCTGTCTGATGAGATGCCTACATCTATACACCTGTATGAACACCTGCACATGTGCCTGTACACAATATGAATATGACAGACAAAGAAAGCGGACAAAATATACAGTTCCTCAGGTAGACAAAGGAACATCCCTTCACTGCTATTATGTAAAAAAAGGTGAATATGCATGTGACAACTGTTCTACACATGTTTCCATAATAGCAGTGAAGGGATGTTCCTTTGTCTACTTGAGGAACTGTATATTTTGTCCGCTTTCTTTGTCAGTCATGTTCATAGTGACATCTATCCCTGTATCAGTGTATCTCTCCCCCTACTCTCTTTCTCAATATCTCCATCTTTCGTCAGTCATGTCAATGCATCTCTTTATCTATATCTACCCTCTCTTTCTCTAAACTCCATTTTTCTTTTATCCCCTTCTCTCTATCCATCTTTCTGCAAACTTCATTCTTCTTTTATCCCCTTCTCTCTATCCATCTTTCTGCAAACTCTATTCTTCTTTTATCCCCTTCTCTCTCTCCATCTTTCTGTAAACTTCATTCTTCTTTTATCCCCTTCTCTCTATCCATCTTTCTGCAAACTCTATTCTTCTTTTATCCCCTTCTCTCTCTCCATCTTTCTGTAAACTTCATTCTTCTTTTATCCCCTTCTCTCTATCCATCTTTCTGCAAACTCTATTCTTCTTTTATCCCCTTCTCTCTCTCCATCTTTCCGTAAACTTCATTCTTCTTTTATCCCCTTCTCTCTCTCCACCTTTCTGTAAACTTCATTCTTCTATCCCCTTCTCTCTCTCCATCTTTCTCTGAAGTCCATTCTTCTTCGTCTCCTCTCTCTCTTGTTCTCTCTCCATCTTTCTCTATGGTCTATTTTCCTTCTCCCTCTTCTACTTCTTCTTATGCCCCCCTCTCTCTTTCTCTATCATATCCCTTCTCTTTCTTCCAGTGCAAGTACAGTCCTCCGGGTAGAGAACCTTAATAATTTTTACTTCCAGTGTGCAGTGCTATGAACTAGTGACCATCAACAACCCTTCTTCTCTGCGTCTCTCTCTCTCTCTCTCTCTCTGTCTATATCTCTCCTTTTCTCTCTCTCTGTGTCTATATCTCTCCTTTTCTCTCTCTCTCTCTCTGTCTATATCTCTCCTTTTCTCTCTCTCTGTCAATATCTCTCATTTCTCTCTCTGTCTATACCTCTTCTTCTCTCTCTCTCTCTCTCTCTGTCTATATCTCTCATTCTCTCTCTCTCTCTGTCTAAATCTCTCCTTCTCTCTGTGTCTATACCTCTTCTTCTCTCTCCTTCTCTCTCTCTAAATATATCTCTCATTCTCTCTCTCTGTCTATATCTCCCCTTCTCTCTCTCTCTCTCTCTCTCTCTCTGTCTCTCTCTCTGTCTACATCTCTCTCTCTCTCTCTCTCTCTCTCTCTCTCCTTCTCTCTCTCTCCTTCATGAATCCATTTATATGTATGTCAGACTACTCTCTTTCTCTGCTTCTACACAAGTCCCCATCTGATGTTCTCTTCCTCTGGTGTCCAATATCAACAAAAAAAGCAGATGATAATCATATCTAATTACATCTCATATAATATCTTTATTGTTGTAATTCTAATTAAGCAACTCACTTGAATAAAAACATGGACATGTGATTAACATGATCAGGAAAGAAAAACAGAAACTTATTGCCAATTTTTTTAGCAACAGTAGCTCTTCACATAGGCTAGAACATGGAGTATGGTGAATAATGTAATAAAGGATCTCTTACATAGAGTTGAGGGGCACTATGATGAGACATTGTAATAGAGATTCAATAGGAGCATCGGGTGAGTGGAACAAAAACTGTAAACAATATCTTGACATTTTGTGAAAGAGAGATGCAAAGTCTATTGATATTTAAAGTTATGTCCTTAGGGGCAAATGATGTAGAAATACTTTGACTCTCGATCCCATTTATCTCATTTTACATTATATATATCACGTTGCATTTACATTATTTACAGTCTTGAAGAACATGTCAATAAATGTCACCAAAAAAAAATTAACATGTCACTGAGACTGCATGGCGGGCAGAAGACCACATGCTTTCAATGAATGTGATCCATAACTTTAAAAAAAAAAACTTTGCACAAATGATCAACTGCATAACAACAATTTCATAATTACTTTAAACCTGTTCCTCTCAAACTAGTCCCATCAATTTTGTCCAAGCTTCTATACACATACATGTATATCCAAATACATCCAATAACTGGCCAGACCATCGCAACAGGATAATTGGGAATTTGTCATCTTCATGTATGTCCATGCAGCAAATCCATGACTGACAGAGTGTTAACGAAGAACATAATTTATGTTTTGACAAATGTTTGTTAGATGTAATCTTCTAGAACATCTGTCAGGATGGAGAAACTCAGTTGAGAGCCCTGTTTCATAAAACATGTTATCAACAACAAGTTCCAATAACTGTTATAACCTACTGAAATCATGGCATTTGATTGGCTGAGAGCAAATTTGTCATAGAAATTTAGCATTTGTAATTGTAACAAGTTTTATGAAACAGGGTCCAGAAGGGCATTGAATATGTGTAAAAGTACACGTTTATGGGTCAACGCACTTCCGGCTTTCAGCGTTCAAAATGAAAGGGTGGAGTGGCCTTTGAAGCTGTTGACTGGTTGCTTCTAGAGGGTCAAAGGTCATGGTTGACTCTATCCCTGCTTTCACTCTACTCCATGTCTGATAGGCTCTCAGTGTCATGAGTCTACTGAAGGTGGTGCGCCAGTAGTGACCTGGAGAGGGAGACAAACAAGGTATTTTACAATGACAGCAGATTACAGCTACATGCATGTATGTCTTACATAAAACATGTCGTGTCTACCCATTCTCTTCCGTAAGAGGCCATTTGTATGTCTGTGAAATGTGAGCAAAACAAATTTCCAATATTGGACAATAAATTAAAATTAAAATTTGAAATTAAAACAAAATACCCATACCGAACAAAACAGCAACTTTAGCAGGATTTATCATCCATTTAAGCAACCTGTAATTCATTCCCCCTCAAACAATACAAAATGAATTCTACTTCAGAATAATCTGTTTCAAAAGATAGATTGTAACATGATGACCATAACTCAATGTCAAAATATGACTTCTCCAACTTGATCATTTGTCCTTTGTTGTCTTTCAACAGGTATTTCCATGAAAGTGTTAAGTTTACAGAGATAATGAATAATCTATATCACTTACTGGTGTCTTAGCGCGATCTTGTATTAAATTCCAGGTATGGTAGTGGCACTGTGCACGAAACAAAAGAAAAATATTATAACATACATACTGTAGGTAGAAAACAAAAATGTATACATAGATAGAATTACTCTCTTCATAAAGTATTTTGCTTGCTACCGATGGGTAATGAAACATTAGATTTCCAACTTCATTTTTCCTTGTGAAAGTTCAGAGTTGTACATTTCTTCAGCAATTCAAACTTTGCACATTTTCATCTCCTTTTATCACAGCCAAACAAAACAAGTTGGATAGTGAAATTTAAAACACCAAAGATGAGTAAACCATCTCCCACGGGTGAGGAGAGGATTGCGGCCATGTTAAACACAGAGTAGTTGCACGCAAGCCATAGTTACAAATTAATATAGTTTTCTACAACAGGCTGCAATGCATAGACAATTACCAGCAAGGCTATCTTCAATAAAAAAAGACTTGTCTCTAAAGGGCTATTACAGAAACTCACTGACAGTATTTTGTTCTTCTTTATAAGCAATTTTGGAAATACAATTTGCATATGGGTAGATATGTCATTTAAATGTACGTAATTTGGAGACAAAAAATTAAAAACCCATCAAGACGACTGCTGGATACGTGTTCATGAAATTTATGTAATCATTATTCATTTATGCCCCAATGGTACATTCTATGATACATGGGGGGAAGTATTCTTTTCAAGAGGGTAAACAAAAGGTATTGATGAAGCACCTCCATCACTTTGGCAGTGATTAGTGTAAAATGTACGAAATGGGATGTCTCCAAGTGTAAAATATCTGTGGATAATTTTTTGGATCATTTGTACAAGTGCTGCCTCCAAAGTGACTTTCAGTTAACTCCATGAAATCATCTTGACAATCACAATATATTTGATTATCACAATCAAGGTATATTTTAATGGCAGATGAAGTGAATAAATGATCAGACTTACAGGGAAATCACCGGGAAGAGCTACACCCTGGAATCTGGTTAATTGGTTCTGAAAAAAGAAGAGAGAATCATGAAATGAAATAATCATAAACTAATAATAACATTGATCATGACTGCAATGATGCTAATGATGGCTGTGATGACGATATATTTCTCGTCTTTCCTTTGTTACCCACAATCAAAGGAGTTGATAAGCATTTTCAGAAGAACAAACAACATTGTAAGAGCATCAGTGATCTTCCTTATAAACCTCTTGCAGCAATAATTTAAAGGTAACAGTCCTTACCTACAAAAGTTAGAAATTAAAATTATGAAAAAATGTAGTTACAAGATTGCATCAATTATATCTGTTTACATAACCTGTTTCGGGTAGCTTTATCCTGTTACATTAGCATGTCAACGTGTGGATGTATTATTTTTGTTATTTTTAATCTGAGAGTCTTAAAATCAACTTACCCCTGACTTGAGATGATCATCTATTTGATGAACCTGGAATGAGAAAAGGAAAAGATCTATTGAAACCTATTCGCATTACTTTGATTTGTCCTAATCACACTTTTGCAATTCCTCCTACATTACATGTTTTTGTTTTGTTTTCATACTTTTTTACTTTACATATTGCTGTTGTTGTAAGGATCATACAAACACATCACTGAACTCTAAAATGAAATGTAATTTAATCCATAAACTTAATCACTGTCTTGTAATGGTTAAAGTTGTACTTTATTACAGCATCCATGGTGCTTACTAAAAACTGTAAAATGAGGAGGTGCATCTAAGAAATAGTATGATAAGCGACAGTCCTGTCAAAAACATGAATATAAACCAAATGTAACACTTTTCAACTGATAGAATAGATGATGGCCCAGGAGTAGTTCAAACATCTTTAGCTGCATGCAAGATTCAAACATGCATCAGAATCTAGTCCAGTTCATACAAAGGGTTACTCACTGCACAATCAAAATGAACTTACACATGTGAAGGAATATCTGTGTGGAACCATGAAGCCTGAGTTGGCAACGAGAGGTCCTGGACTAGTGTCAATGAACTGGCCTAATCTAAAGAGGACTAAACGATCTGTGTCCATTGAGTTCAGCTCGGCAACCTTGTACCTGGTGGTAATGATATATATACAAGTTATGAACTTCCATTTAACGGTTAATGAGGATTAATGCCTTACCAAAGGGCACTAGCGCATCGCCTTGGTTTCGAACCTGGGTCACCGGATTATGAGACCACTGCTCTACCGACTGAGCTACCGCGCTTCCTCTATCGCGCCTCCATTCAATGTCTGTATACACTATTATTGAAAGCGGTGACTTATAAATTGTTTACAAAATACAATTTTGGTAATGTCAATGAACGAAACAAATTGAAAATATTAACATGCCTCTGTCTTACAAACATGAAAAATGGTACAAGTAAAGATTTTTTGAAATCTTGAAAATTCAGAGTTTCATACCTTATCATTGACTTTTCATACAATCAGTTACACAGAATATAGTTGGACAACTTGAGTAGATTTATAATTTCAAGCAAATTCAAGTTTTATAAAATGTTACGAGAGTACTGCAAGTAAAATAATCTCACCCATTTTTATATAGTGCCTTCACATTTGCATTTACTCATCAAAGCACTTTCTAGTGCATTATTACCATAGATTCATATAAAAATTCAAACCTTACTGCATACATTACAATACAATCTGAAATTAACTCACTCGTTATCTTTGAAGATCTCCATGGCGACACTTGGTCTGACCTCTATCCTTTCAAAGGGAAGTTTCTTCTCTGCTAACTCATAGGATAACCTACTCAGACTGGTGAGCTCTTCTTGGGATGGTTCCCATTGGAAAGGTAGATTAACATCATAGGCAAAGCACCCCTGAGAAACTAGTACAGTCAAAGGAAAAAAGAGGTAAATCATTTCATGCCTACTCAGACTGGTGAGCTCTTCTTGGGATGGTTCCCACTCGAAAGGTAGACTGATATCATAGGCAAAGCACCCCTGAGAAACTAGTACAGTCAAAGGAAAAGAGAGGTAATCATTTCTTGCGACTGTGTCCACTGGAAAGGTAGACTGATATCATACGCAAAGCACCCCTGAGAAACTAGTACAGTCAAAATGAGAAGTAATCATTTTCTAAAAAACTTTCCCTTTGGAAATGTAGATTAATATAAAAGTACCTGCTTACTTGTGGTTTAGAGTCCGGATATTTATTCACTAGACCACAACACCTCTACTCTAGCCATGCATTGCTAGCTCACTTTTTGTCACTTGAAAATGTTGGGGCCTTCAGCAACTCACAAACATTTCAAAATTAAATCCCTCATGAGAATAAAAGCTTAAAGACTACATCCAAAAAACATACCATTCCAAGACAAAACTGAATAGAATTAAAAAAATGTAAATACCGGGAATATCTGCTGCCCTCACAGGTTGGATATAGACATCTGTTTTGAATGCACTCTGTAAGATAGCACCAGCCATTAAAGAACATGATCGCCAGAAAGCCTGAAAATAAAGAACAACAACAAACATGTTTGGAGTTTAACACTTGGTTAAAAAAAAGTATTATTTCTTGTGCCCACAGTTCAAGGACTGTGTTATATGATGACATTTTCTTACAGCTATAGTTTTATATCCTTTTATTCCTATTATTTTGATCTATAATGTTATTTCAATGTAGTGCATCTTTCCTAAATACTCAATACCTTGTTTGCCTTTTTATAATAATAGTGATGATACCATTAATAATAGTGGGTTCTTGTATAGCGCTCGTGTCTGTCAGACTTGACACTCCTGGTGCTCCACAATTATCACACAGGCTTTAGCATTACGATGACTTAATTCCTGCCAGGTACCCCTTTACCTGAAATGTGCCTAGCAAGGTAAACGTAGATAAATATCTTGCTAAAGGACATTAGTGCTACAGCGGGACTCAAACTGTGAAGTGTGAACCGTGTGATCCATAGTCCGGTGATGTATCGACTACACCACTACACCTCCATGCATGGACTTGCTGAAGAAAGTGTTTCTTTGTGAGCCCATCCTAATGATTTGTAATAACAATTGTAAAGCTTACTCTGGCTTCACTCAATACAGACTTTACTTGTTGTCTGATCAAACTAAAAAATGGAAAAAAGGGAAAAATAGTCATAATTTGAATCAGTGTTGGCAGTCTCTGACCTTATTAGCTTCTGTGGGTTCATCGTCCTTCATAGTGATTAGTCTTAATTCACAGTCCTCTGTCAGTGGTTGGAGCATGTGCCAAGGTTGTCCATTCACCAGGGCTATTGCAGATCGCTTCATGTAGGTCTCGTTGAAATCTGCACAAAGTCAAAGAGGGAGATATTCCACACGGTTCATGGGATCAAAAGACAATCGTCATCATCATCATCATCATCATCATCGTGATCAAGGAAAGGTTTACCCTATAATCCTTGGTCACATCTTCAGGGTTGCTTATGTTCTACAGTCTCCGATTTTGCACATGTGCAGGGTAGAGACGGTTTTGATAATAGAGGCCTACACTGGGAGGTCCCATATTAATAAAAACCCTGTTTGAAATAAACTAGTATCTTCTGGTAAGGGCCTACCTATAAGCTAAAATAAATTGTGTGAGTGTGTGCTTTATTTCACATTTAGAATGGTAAAAAACAAACAACACAAAATGAAAGAGCAACAATCACTTACAAGTTTGAGACCAATTCAGTATATTATGAAATTCTTCAAATGAAGATTAGGCATCTTCTTTGTTATTGAAAGTGAATCGAAAAAGAATATTAGCTGAATGATGTGCGAAATTGTAGATCCTGCAGTAATTGGGCTTTTAATAGATTGTTGTCCATGTCAATGAGATTAAATTGAAGATTTCTTGCTTCTATGACATAAAGTTAGAGAAAAAAAGGTTCAAAGGAAAACAGTGACTATGAACTTTTGAACCTATTGCCAATTTAAGACCTGCAATTATTATTTTCCTTTAAATAATTCCTGAAATTCAGTCATTTAATCATTCAACAACAAAAGTAGAATCAGTGTTTTCTGCTCTTTCTTTTCATGCACCTTTTATATTATTTATGAGATTAATGCAGTTGCAGTTTCTCCACCCTCTCTCTCTCTCTCTCTCTTTCTCTCACTTTCTCTCTCTCTCTCTTTCTCTCTTCCGTTTTCTCTCTCTCTTTCCCATTTCTTTTCTGTTTCATCCATCCTTAAAACTTTTTATCAATGAATAATAGTTTGATTGTAATGTTACCATGTTCTACATTATGCATTTTATCAATTGTCACCATTATTGTAAATTTATGCAATTCGGCAATTGGATTGAATTGAATAAAAATGAACAAAAAAAGTTGCTTAGCCAGACCACACAATATCTTGATCATCCCAAATAAGTGAAGGAACTTACGCATCGCTACATGGTATGGTGTGGAGAGATCCTTGTTCATGGCCAATTTGCAATCATTAGACTGACCAACATGATGGACAGTGATCTTCTCGATTCTCTTGACCATGTCAAGCTGACGACGCTTCTCCTGGTCAAACAATTCATTCTGTTTGTGAGTGACAGCTGCAGTGGTCAGTGGTTGTTCACTTGTGGACAAACCTGAATGGATGGAAAGATGGAGAGATATCAGAATACAGTGTTCATACAAAGTTGAATTGAGTCATGAATGCATAGTGATAGTTTAAGTATGCTGCAACAGGCGCGGATCCAGGATTTCTTAGGGGAGGGGGCCCAACTTTTTTTTTTTTTTTGCTCCCGAAAATTTGAAAATCGCGCTGGCCGAAAAGTCGCTCAGTGGGGGGGGGGGGGGGGGGGGGAGTAGTGAGGACATTTTTTATTTTTTGATCCTCAATTTTTTTTTTTCAATTTGCACCCCCCCCCCCCTTGAGCGCCAGGGGGGGGGGGGCCCAACCCCAAAAAAAGGTAAAAATCACGTGATTTTACATGATTTTTTTCTCAAGGGGGGGGGGGCCCGGGCCCCCCGGGCCCCCCCCCTGGATCCGCCACTGTGCTGCAAGATATGGTATGATAATCTATTTTTAATATCATTGAATCTGTCACATCTGTGGTAAAATGCTGAAACAGAAATTGTTAGAAAAGCTTTGAATGGGTGTCTTACTCATTACTCATTAGCATTAACCATGCATTGCTGGTGTGGTCTTAATCTTTTCTCTCTCTCTATTTATAATTGTTGTTCTTTCTTTCTCATTCCATTGAAATCATGTTCATCATGGATTTGTTTAAACTCATTATTATTCATATGATCTCTCTTTTTAGTGTTCCCTATGTCTTTAAACATGTTAAAAACCTTAGGCTTTAGATTTTGTTTTTAAATGATAGATTTATTTGATAGACCGACCAGTCTTTTTCTATTTTTCCAATTCTATGTGTTGTACTATCAAATACTAGTTTCAATATTCAATAAATTACCATAAATAAATTATGGAAAAAAGTATCAGAGGCAAGAGCTAAGACTAAGAGCGAAGTTGAAGAGAGGCAGAGACTCTCATCATTTTGATTCGAGACGATTTTGACTTCTAAAAATTAAACTTTTTTAAAAGATTAAATTTGACAATTGTCTTAATTTCTTAAAAAAACAAATCCTCAAAGTCCAATTTTGTATCTTATTTTATTGTATTCATTAATTAGGCGTAAATACTTAGTTCTGAATGATAAACGCTAAGGCTGTGCATAACCGTGTAATGAGGTACTCAAGTACACTCCCAGGCTTACAGGCAAATACTCAAATATTTGGATGCCATGTGTTTTTTTTAAATTTGTTTGATTTGTTTGATTTTTTTTTTGTTGCCACCACCAGACTACGGGAGAAGTATCGCAAGTCCATCTCCGAAAACTCAAACAATTTTACTTGGAGTTGCAGTTGAAGGCAGCGATTTAATAGTAAACAATGTTGTTTTTAAAACCAAAGATGACAGAATAATCCATTTTCCTCTAGACTAAGTACAAACAGAAATCCAGACATTTGGTCCCAGTTTCTGAGTGGTGAGTTGACAGTGATTGAGCTGGGAAACATTTTTACCCGCGGTACCTTGCCGGCGCTACCTCCCGGGCACGGGTAAGTGTCGGCCTAGGCCTGGAGACAGTGCCAGGGCCAGGCGATGGCAAAAATTTTTTTTTTTAAAAATGGCGGTAGAGTATTCTAATACGAGAAATTTTACAGTGCGAGTACTCGAGTAGACTCTAGATCTATTCGACTACTCGTGGCGTCGCTGCCTTAATAAACGCCTTAACTTCCTTAAGACAAGTAGGGTCTAGACTACCAAAACAACAACAAAAATCACACTCAACACTGCACTGAACTAAACATATTGCATTCAGGAGAAGAAGAGGAATAAAAAGTGGTGGCTTGTTAATTTGAATACTGATGGCTGGCAACTAAACAGGAACAGACGTTAAATTGAAAAAGCGATCGGAGGCATTCAAGTTCAAACTCCCCATTGTCGTTGCATTATAGGCCTACAACATGAATTTTAACGTGTGGGACTATTCTGAAGAGTAGCTGTGATATATATCATGACTTATTTGCAGCTTCCTCAATGAATTTGACGACTCTTATGATTTTTGTCTTTTTTGTTAATACTTACGTCTGCTAAGTAAAGAAATCAACTCTTTATATCCTCTCAAATGCCGCATTTTGACTGCTAATTCTCACTTTTTCGTAAGTTGAAGTCACTCAAGAGCACGTTTGAACTTTGACCTCTTTCTACCAGTCTGAATTTCTCTCGTCCAACTCGTACTCGTACTTGCAATCAGTAGTGTGACTCGTTCGCGTAGCTCCGAATATTTGTTACCACTCTTCCTTCTAACACAATGCCCAATCCATAGCAACGCCCTGTAAATAGAGTGTAAGCTACGTGCTATACTAGGCCTGCGCATGTATTGTTGACAATGAATATAGCGCACATACGTAATAATTGACATCGAAAACTAACTGGCAGGAGTAAAATATTTTGACGAAAAGACAGATCGTGAAAAAGTTGTCAGATATGGTGAGTGAACAATCATACATTTCCAGTCACATATATGATAATCGTACTATCTGACTATTGTTATTTCCATAATAATCTTACAATGTGATTTTGATGGTGATTTTGATGGTGATGTTTGATGTTGTTTTGTGTTGTTTTTGTTCAGTTCGTCTTGACTGAGCTGAGCCTAAGCTAAGGCATGATTATGCGGTTGCCGTGCCTGTGCACTGTGCTGCTGCAGCTGTCGCTAGCTGCGTGTGCCTTGTGGTGTGTGATGATGATGATGAAGATTCTTCCTGAAAAGTTGAACGTTGATGAAGCAATTAAGAATTCACCTTTAAAAAAAAGGAAACAGGCCCAGGTGTAGACCTAGGTTAGGTCTAGACAGAAATAACCGTCTGGTATGCATGGGGAATTCTAAATTAATAAAAGTAATAAAACTGACATTTGTCAACCTTCCCCCAGGGCCAGGCCCGAAGAGGCGGTCAGTTGGAATTGATTGCAAAATTCGCAACTAAAATTCAGTAGGGGCGCTGGTGGGAGAATGAAGATCGTCCGCATAAACTGTAGGATATCCTCGTTAATGGAGACAAATCGTGTCCTAAAAATAAGCAACGTCTGCATTTTTTGCTGACGTTTTTTTTCATCATGTCACTGGTTGCTGAACCTCGCGCTGGCGATGCGAAAAACAGATTCCGTGTAAGAAAATAACCTTTTACTTTTATGGGTTGTCCGTCTTCTCAAGGATCTATCACTCATATCGTGAAAGTTTCTGTACAAAGTCGATGTAAAAATTTAAAATGCATCAAGAAAATCATGGCATTGCCAATGCGCGGATCGGAAATACGAAACATCTGCAAAAATGCAGACGATCCTTATTTTTGCGGACGCGTGTGTCCGCATTTACGAAGACGATCCTCGTTTATGCGGACGATCCTTATACTGGCACAAATGGTGGATATTTTTCGGCCAGAGAGACATTTTGACAAGCCTGTTGTTTAAAATTAAAACACTGCTGTGCCAAGACTAAGAAAGTACCAGTAAGATATAGTTTGGGCAGTTGTTTTTTACTTTATGAAAATGCCATCCATTTTTGTCGCCATCCTTCCCTACCTGTAGCTTCTTTCTTTAACTTTTGTTTTGATTAATTTTTCTCAGCCTCACAGCGTGATAAGTGACTCTTCAACCAGCTCTGCCTCACGGCGAGCGAAGACCCGACAGTACTACACCGTCAGTAAGACATCTCAAGTAGACGAATCCTTGTTTGGATCGAACAACAAGAATGGCAGCAACAAGAACACACAACCTACAGAGAACACGGAGCCAAGGAGAGCCTCCGGAGGACGAAATAAGAAGAAGCAGAAGGAAGAAGTTCAAGTCATCACTAAAGATCTGATTCGTAAACTTGTGTAAGTCCTCTGATCAATCAATGTGTTTTCAACAGGAACTGGTGAATAAGAGCAATGCAAGGTTCATTTGTCCCTGGATAATTGGTAGTTATAATATTAGTGTTTTGGCTAACATAAACCATCATCATCATCGTCATCATCATCATCATCATCATCATCATCACCATCATCATCATCTGGTACAGGGAGAAGGTGTTGGCCTGTAATTCCTGGTCACTGCTTCTGGGTTTAGCCTATTGGAATTTTTACTGAGTCTATCAAATCATTACAGGAAAGTGACATAGCAACAAGCAAGTTGATTCAGTATTCGCTAACATTTAAGAAGAAGAAATCAGAAGATTCATGGTACTAAAATTTCCTTTGAGTTTGTTCATTTTGGACACTCAGTCTTCTTTTGATCTCCTGGCTTTATTCTATTTACTAAAATGAAAGTTATTATCCTCATTATATTATCATTATTCTTATTCTTTTATTTCAACTGTTGTTTTGTTTTCTCACCATACAGAGTTGCTCAAGAGGACCCATCAGGCCAGTCTGTGGTGTTACCGTTTGATGAATACCGTCGGATCATGGGCGCTGCTAGAACCATGTCACATGAAGAAAAGGTCGCTGACTTCAAGAGACGACAAGCAGACAAACAGAAACAACAGGTTAGACATTAGACTTCAATTCTACACCAACCTTTTCTGTGCTTTTTGTGGTTAAAGCGTCCATATTTTTATTTGCATCCAATTTAAAGGGCAAATGAAAACCTGCTTTTCTTTATCCAATTTTTACTGGTTGGTGAACTTTGAAGTACATGTAGGATAGCAGCTGACCAAGTAAATGTACTACTAGAGTAACTAGACCAATTTACATATCTCTGAAATGTGTCGTCTTGTAACATTATAGTTGTGTGTTTTTTTCCCGATGATAGGATGCTAGTAATGAAATCAAGCTTCACATGCAAGCCTTAGACAGAAAGAGACAGAAGAATGAGAAGTTGACAGATCTAGAAGAAGAAGCCAAAGTGTGTCATATCTTGTAACATTATATTTTTGTGTTTTTCCTTGATGACAGGATGCTAGTAATGAAATCAAGCTTCACATGCAAGCTTTAGACAGAAAGAGACAGAAGAACGAGAAGCTGACTGATCTAGAAGAAGAAGCTAAAGAGCAGGGTGAATACCTGTTAGCTAAAGCCAGGGAACAGCAAGAAGAACAGGAAGATGAAATCAAACACTTGAATGAGGTAGGTCGAGCGTCTAACTTCATTTAAATTGTTTTCATATTATTACTTTATTATTTTTATATATATTTAAAAATATAAACAAACAAAATATTATTATTGAAATATTTCAGCACCTCACGGGCAGCTTGACTAAAGCTAGGGTGGTAATATTTGTTAAAATCAGTTATAATAACACAGACATATATATAAAGTGCATTTATAATGCACTGAAGAGTCTATTTATTCATTTCACAGTGTACCAGTAATAGCACTTGAATGTTACTATCTGTTATCACCAAAATGCCCTCCTCGTGCACATGGTAAAAAGTAGTGCACATACACGTGATACATTTCAACGATTCTCATTGGCTACATTCTGAACCCATTTTATAATATTGAATGTCTCATGAAAGACTATATACATACATGATTGTATTGCAGCTAATGCTGAATGCTAAATGCCATGCCATCAGAGATGCTTAAATCTCTTGGCATTGACTCAATTGTATTGAATGCCCCATGAAAGACTATATATATATGATATAATGCAATATCCTAATGATTGTATTGCAGCTGATGCTAAACGCTAAATGCCATGCCATCAGAGATGCTCAAATCTTAGAGAAAGGCATCATCAAGGAAGAGACGACAGACGAAGAGAAGAGACTGGATGCAATGATGGAGGTTGAACGACAGAGGGCGCTGCTTCTACAAGAAGAGATCGAGGAACAGAGAAAGGTCGAGAGATATGAGTGAGTCATTTCTTTTATGCAATATGCAGTAATGCAGGGCTCTACATTAACTTTTAGAAGGGGGTCTGGATTTATCTTTTTAAAGTCTCTGTGTATGAGTCTTACGTCAAAACTTATAAATTTTGGGGTCTGGGCTTAGATTTATGGCGCCCTTGTGGCCAGGGGGCACCTGTTCAATTTCACTGATGTCGAGACCTGAGTAATGCATACATGTAAATTATAATAATAATAATAATAATAATATTAATAGTGAACATTTATAATGCGCCATGTCTATCAATAATGACACTCCAGGTGCATAACATGTGAACTCCAGTTCACATAAATAGGTTTACCTTCAAATGGATGATAGGCTTTTGCTATTCTTTCACAAAGATTTATAATAAGTTTTACCATACAGTGTATATATATTTTCTCCATTTGTTTTTGTCATTTCGTAAACCTTTTGTAATTCAGCTAATGGCTGTGTGTTGAAATAAAAATAAAACTTTCAATTCGTTCATTCATTCTTTTTTTATCAGGGGTAAATCGATGATCCTGACTCAGATTTCCCAGAGGGAGGAAGAGCGATTGTTACAACAGGAGAAGAAAGACCAAGAAGCTCAACAGATGCTCAAATATCTGGGAAAATTACAGGTGGAAGATTTGAAGGTAAGTCATGTTATTATCATAAATCATTATCATCATTGGCATCACCATCATCAGCATCATCTCCATCATCTTCATCATCATCATCATCATTATCATCATGAGGATCAACAAGATTATCCTCTTTTTCCCCAATTATTGTCATAATCATCAGTGGCATCACCATTGTAATCGTCATCACCATCACCATTATCTTCATCACCATGATCATTGTGGAAGTCATCATGAGAGAGTACCAAATATTCAGACCCTTTTAGGGTTAAGACAAAGCATGAGATCGAAGTTAAAGTCCCACTGCACTTGCGCCCTCTATATAGCAAACAATGCCTAATCGGTGACAATTGGTCCCCCATGGTCCCCTTTTCCTTTGTTAATTGAGAGCTGATTTGATGAGATAAACACCTATCATTGACCATGCAGGGAGGTCTAATCCCTCCTGGCCAAACTAGTGCAGACAGGCTTTAAGGTTCAGTTATTGATCACCACCTTCATCGTACATCATGCATTGTACTTACTTACTGCCCATTATGCCTCCTGGCACGTAGGGCAGCAATAAAAGTCTTCCACTCCTTCTGATCCTGGGCCAGTCTTTGGATTGTATCCTATGTGTGGTTCAGGTCTTTGATCTCCCCTTCCACAGTTCTTGGCCGAGTGTTTTTCGGACATCCCCTCTTTCTTTTGCCTTCTGGTGTCCATTGGAGGGCTGTTCGTGTATTTTTTATGTTCTTTCTAATCACATGTCCGATCCATCTTCACCTTCATCTCATGATGATGTTATCGTGCATTGTGATTCTAATGCTCATTTCCCATCTTATCTCCATGACCTTGACTTTGACCGCAGGACCTTGACAGGAAGCGTCAGATCCAGCTGGAGGCCCAGAAGGAGATCGCTCGGTCCAACGAGGAGTCTGAGGAGCTGAAGAAAAAGAAGCAGGAGCAGGAGAAGCTAGCTGACCTCAAGGTCAATGAGTACACCAAGCAGAAGGCTGAGAGGGAGGCAGCGTTTGAGGCTGAGCAGGAGAGGATCAGGATTGAGAAGGAGAAAGAGATCGCCAGACTTAGAGCTATGCAGGTAAACATGGATGCTAGAGTCATGTCTTATCATAGTTGTTATAGTTAGCATTTTAGTACAGTCAAACCTGTAGGAATGAGCAATTTGGCTGATGAAAGTTCAAGAGTGCGGGAAAAACAACAACACCAACAACAATACACAAACCTACCAAATGTTACTGTGACAAAATCGCAACACAAAATTCCCTAACAGCTCTTCTGGGGGGTAGTTTCATAAAGCTGTTCGTTAAGTTGTGCATGACTTTACAAAAGACTTGAATATGAAGTGCCAGATAGGATGCCCAAAGTTTTTCCTGATGTTTTAACAAAGTGTGACTATATTTCCAATAGCCTCAATTAAATTATGGCAAAAAATATACTTTGCATCAAAAATCATTGTTATAATAAGAATGTTAATCTACATCTGCACAGTTCAACTTTAGTTGATGCAGTTAAAAACTATTGAGCATTCCATTCGGCTGTTCATATTTAAGTCATTCGTAAAGTCATGCATAACTTTACGAACAGCATTGAACAGATATTCATATGTTATCTTTTGAGTATAAACAAATAGTTCTAACCTATAATGAATATTGATCTTCTCAGGAGCGTGCTAAGGACTACCAGGCTGAGAAGGATGCCCTGAGAGCCAAGCGTAACCAGGAGCAGAGGGAGCGGGAGTGGAGACAGAAGGAGAAGGAGGAGGTGATCATCAAGGCGGAGACAGAGTTCATGCTCAAGGAGGCTAGAGAAGTCCAGGTCCAGAACAAGGAACACTTCCTTGCAGTCCAGGCCCAGAGGGAGAGGGCCGAGTTTGAGAGGGTACTCAGGTAAGGTTTCAGTTGTCATTAGAAAATTATTTTTTTATTGATTGATTTATTAATCCATTCATACATTCATATATTTATTATAAACTTATTAAAGCCCAGCTGCACTATGTATAGCATCCTTGCACCATCTATACAGCCAACGACGCCTAAGCGGTTCCTGTTGATCCCCCATGATGCCCTTTTTCTTATTTGATCACCTCTCGATTAACATAAGAAAAAGGGCATCATGGGGGATCAACGGGAACCGCTTAGGCGTCGTTGGCTGTTTAGATGGTGCAAGGATGCTATACATAGTGCAGCTGGGCTTTAATAAGTTTATAATAAATATATGAATGTATGTAAAGAGGCGGAGATTGTTCTATGTTTCGTTTTTGTTTATTTTATTTCATTTTCAAACAAAAATCACAAAAATATAAATATAAACATTAACAATTTTGATGCAAATACACATATGAAATTTTTCTTCTGGAGTTTCATTGATTTCTTTGTCTATTTAACCCAGGTGATGAAAGTGGGTACCTGGCAGGAATTATTTCTTTGATATGCTAGAGCGCCATAACGGCAGCACAGCTAACGCCGGGTAATAATCTCCAAGTTTGGAAGCACTTAATAAGTGATTGTAATAAGCGCTATACAAAAACTGAGTATTATCAGGTGGGCTGTATCTAATACAGACCACCTTATATTTTTGTTAAAATCGCCTTTATTTATTTATTTATTTATTTTTCTTATTTCGACCCACTTTTTGTTAGCAAGATAACTTAGAAAAAGCTTAATCAAATAACTTGAAATTTGGCACAAATATGTATAGGCATATGGAGAAAACACAGTAAGGTTTTCAACCTTGACCTTGACTGATGACGTCATCTAGGCGCCATTTTGTGAAATTTTCTGAAAATCAACTCATGATCATATCTTCATAACCAAAGGTTATTTCTCATTCATATTTATCATGATCAAGGTCAATATCAGTCCAGTCAATTTCAGGTCAAAAAATGCGCGCGTGCGCGTACATCCGCGCGTCAGTGCGCGCGCAAAATTTTTTAATGCTCAAAATCGTCTCAAATTTATTTTGCATACGTTTCAGGTCATTTTAAGCATTTTATAAAAAATCGCGCGTACGAGCATGCGCGTGCGTTTTCGCGCGTAACACCATTACAAAACATAGAATCGCCATTTTTTTTTCTTTCATGATATTTCTCATATTTTTTCAAGGAATTTGATACCATGTTTATCTCTTTATGACCATTATTAACAAGATGAGCGTAAATTCAAGATAAATGTCAGTGCGCGCGAGCTCTTTTAATACATAGCATATATGGGCAAAAACATGCCTATACAAAATCCGTTATAGCTCTTTGGAATGCACCGGGATCCTCAATTTTTTTTTCATATTTAGATAGAGTATGAGTCGGAAATATGATTCCATGTCTCATTCGGCCATTAAGTGTATCGTGACATCATCACAATGGCCTTGGAACTCAAAATACGAATTTGCATATTATGACGTCAGCATATTTATGTAAAATTTATTGTATCTCTGTAAATATTGATCAATTTTCTTCAAAATTTCGATATGTTGTAGCTAAGACAATTCTCTACAAGCGCAGTAATAACCATTTTTCATTTTGATGACGTCATCATAGTGAAAATTTTGATTAAAGGCCTCATGTAAAAAACTTCATAATTTGCGTGTTATGCCTATAGAAGGTGAATTTAGTTCACGTTATGAATCTACATGATATTGTCTTTTAAGAATTTGTAAGCAGTATGTCGCTTATTTTTGCTCTATTTTGTCTCAAATGTTAGTTGACCAGCCCACCTATACTTGTTCCAAACAAGTATTATATGTCTAGTTACTATTATTATTTCTTTGTCTATTAACAGAGCACAGCAAGAAGCCATGAACAAGGACAGGGCAGAAGAAGAAGAAACCAAGTACAACCGTCTCACTCATGCTGATGACGTCCGCAAACAGATCCGCGAGAAGGAGCAGATCCGTGTGTCGGATAGAAACGCTTTCTTTGAAGAAGGAGTGAAGATTAACGACGAAGCACGAGACAGGAGAGCTAAGCTAGATGCCATCAAAAAGAAGAAACTTGGTGAATTAAGGTGAGATTTTTACTAATTGGGTCTAACTCTATCTTCTTGCTCTCTCCGTATGTCTGTCTGTCTCTTTCTCTGTATGTATGTCTGTTTGTCTCTCTCTGTATGTCTGTCTCTCTCTATCTCTCTCTCTCTCTCTCAGTGTCTGTCTCTGCCTCTTACTCTCTCTCTCTCTATCTTTTGGACTCTGTTTCTCTTCCTCTCGTGGACTCTATCTCCTTCTCTTACCGTCTCTGCTTTAAATGTATCAACATCTATCGAGTTGTAGGTTATGATTTATGATATCAAGGTAGTTTGTTCTTTTAGAGTTCATTATATAATTGACCCTGTGACTATAAAGCCCTACTTGGAGCCAGTTGTTCAATGAGTTGTCTAGATATTTATAGATATTTATAATGTCCTAGGTTCAAATCCTTTTTTGAATGTTATCCTTGGTTCCACTATTTGCTAGTCCTGATGCATGTTTCTTACTCACTGTTTACTCATGATTATCGCAATTTAAACAATAATTCATCAAATATTTGTGAATAAGGATGAATTAATTCAATTGTTTGAATGTAACAAATCCTTTCTTTCTTTTGTTTTACAGAGATGCTGGTGTCCCTGATAAGTACTGTGCCGAGGTGGAAAGGAAGACAATGGCAGTCAAGCACTGAAAACACCCCTAAAATCATAATGGATTGGTCCAAACATCTGTATTATTCCACACTGATGAAACCTTCCATAGTCAGAATTTAGGGTCCTAGTTCATCACGATCTCAAGATAATTCCGTCCAGGATCTATTCATTTGTGAAACTACAACACCAGTACCATAAGACTCATGATATACCACAATTAGATATGGTCCATTGTGCTTGTTCATTTATATTACACAAGTTGCAGAGGTACTATTTCTAGCAAAATTCACATTTCAAAGCTTTTGTGCAGATTGTCATCAAAGTAAATGTTGCTATTTGCTTAAAGAATGTTAATATATTTCTATTGTAGGTAAACTTTCATAGAGCTGTATGTACCACATGCATGGTATGTAGTTTTCACAAATTATATGAGCTTTTAATGACATAGTGACGTGGTTTCAAACAAATAAATGGTACAGTGGTGTGCACATTTGGCTTTGGTTTGAGTAATTCCTTTTTGAGTAGACTTTTATGACTTTGGAATGTATAGCAGAAAACATATGAATGAAATACTGTATCGTCTTTTTATCTATTTTGTTGTGTAATAATGTAAGTGAGCTATTTTGTAGAATAGAGCATTTGTATTGAATTATTTATCACTTCTTCTTACACAAGTATTCAATTCTGTAATTCTTTGGTTTTCCACGAGAAGGTTGCTACTGCCATTGATAATACTTAGGTCTTACTGCCACTTTGCAAGCAGCCAGTGATATGTACCTCATAGCAGAGAACTGAAAAGAGACAATTGTGTACCGACAGAATCCTTCTCATTGTCTCTTAGACAATACAATATAGACAACATGATCATTGTGGTACATGGTGTTTGCAATGTAAGTATACAGGTTTGAATGGTCATCTTTATTGAAATTCTATCGTTGTTTGTAATTACTGTATGCTGTATCAAAAGAAATTGTATTTCTGACTATTTCAGAAATTGCGTCTTATTTGTTACATTTATATTAAAGCTATTGATAACCAGGACCATGTGTAATAAAACTTATTATCAATAAAATGTTACAATGATTGTTATAAGCTACTGAAATCTTGGCATTTGTCTGGCTGAGAGCATATTTGTCAGAAATGTAGCATTTGTTATTGATGACAAGTTTTATAAAACATGGCCGTGGATTCCTGGACCTTGACTTATAACGATTGGTGATTGATGTGAATTATGAAGATGTTCTGGAGTAGCGGTTCATTCACTCGACTTTCACTCCTAGGGTGGAGGCTTTGGCAAGGCATTAATCCACATGTGCCACCCTCCACCCAGGTGTGGATGGATCTCTGGCAATGGCAGGGGTACTAATACAGATTGCAGGGCCCTCTGGAAGAACAGCAATGTTCCCGATGAGGCTTCCCTGGGTAAACAAACATATTTTTGTATTGATTGCAAGTCCTCCAATCAATTGTATATTTACATATTTCTATCTCCATTGTTATTTTGTAATTTAGTTGAATCAATTGCAACAGTACTGCTTTCAAGACAGGACACTGATCATTCAAATTTAATTTTTCAAAGATAATAACTAAATGATTTTTGCTTCTGTGGAAAGACACACTCAAAAGCTTTGGGTTGTTTTCACACAGGCTTTCTAATATGTATTTTCTTTGAGGGCCAATTTATACATAAGCAGATAGCTGTGCTGCTACTAACTCTAAGGTTTGCCTGTAATCTGTAAATATTGTACATAAATAAAGTATTGTGATGTTTATTACTTTAAGGAAGGTATGATTTGATACCATATGTATAGATTTCAGTGTTGGACTGTGTAAGTATTTTTAATTGTATACATTGCTAAAAAATAATTATTCCTTCAATGTAACGCATTATAAAAACATTTGTATTTGAAATGTCTGTGTTGTAAAAAAAATAATAAAGACACGATTGAAAAAAAAGATCAAATCTTTTTACTTATTGAGTGTTTTGCTTTATAAACAGAACTTTTTATATATGAATCAAACAATCTCACATATTATTACCCAAGATGGGATAGCATCTTATACAGACAATAGGTCAAATTGGTATGTATGGTATTTCTATGTATAACAGTGTACAAAAAATAGGATACAAGAAAAAAGTTTTGTACCAGGGAAATATATACCAGGCAGTATTGAGCAAATTTTAGTAGATGTAGTCACTCCACCCCCTCTCTCTCTCTCTCTCTCTCTCACCCTCTCTCACCCTCTCTCACCCTCTCTCTGTCTCTCTCCCTCTCTCAAAGACAACCATTAATGTATCACTCATTTGCTTGCAAACACAAACACTCAGATACCTAATGTATCCGACTACTCTCTAAAATCCCCTCACAAATCGAAGAATGTAAAATGGACAAAATACTTCATTATTATTTTCACTTATATTTATAATTGATGCATATGACAATGATAATACAAAATGTATATAAATTCAAACGTGTAAACTTCCAAAGGCATGATAATTCTTTCATACAAAAATATGACTCGCGTTTCAAAATAATTTGTTCAGTACAGTTAATATTCAAATACAAAAACACACTTACAAGAATGGACTTATCTGAATTGTGAGGGAGGATCACAAAGCAGTAACACGTTAAAAGATAGGAGACATCTTTATAGTCGCGATGTCATAACCGTCACAAAAAATAATCTTGAATTAAGTCTTCATCTGCTGTAGATTGGAATCTGAGACTACCAAAAGGAGTGTAATACACATTTGTACATGTATTTGTGACAAAAGTGCTTTAAAACATGTAACTATTTATCGTAAAACAGTGAAAAAAATACACGGGGGCTCAGGGCGAATTTGCCCCCGAAATGCCCAAAAGAGCCACTGAAAATCAGAAAAGAGCCCCTGTGAATTTGCATAGAGTTCAATGCATTTTAGAGTGCTACTTTTATGCAGGCAAGCTTGAAAAGTAGCCCTCGAAAAGTAAATATTATTTTTTTCCCTGTCGTAAAAATTTGCATTTTCCCCTCGCATCTTTGGAAGGCTCTCCAATTAATAATTGCCAATTATTTGGGGGTCTGAATCTTGAAAAGGACTGTTAGATACAACACTTCAAATAATTTCACCAAAAAAAATAAAATAATGTAAGTACTGTGTGTAGAAAATACAGAAAAATGTTAAACAAATGGACAGATTACCAGGATAATAAAGAATAGGTAGTTAAAAAAAGGTGAACCAAAAACAATTTAGTGGCAAGGACCGACACTTTGTGCATTAAGATAACTTAACTGGCATTAACTAGATAACTAGATAATTAACTAGATAACTAGATGATTAACTAGATAACTAGATAACTAGACAAACATGCTTCAAACAGTCTTTGGGATCAGCATATCAAACATAAGTAACAAACAAGATAAATACTGCAAAATGAAATAAAATACAGTATACATAAAATAAGTACTTTGATTAAAAAGAAATTAATTTCACAATATCGTTCACTTGGCAATCACGCTTCAACAAGCAAGTTTTTATATCATTCATCCTAAAATCCATTGAACAAACATGATTGTTGTCAATTACTTTCCGAGTAGCTAAATGCTAAGATTCAATTTATGAATTGGTGGAGAATAAGGCATCCAGGCTTAATGGTTACATCATCATCATTACCATTATTATACAAATTAATTATAATACAAATTAATACTAACACTTTCAAGGGAATGTCTACATATGAAAAGTATCAAGTAAGCACACTCTTTACTAGGTAAATTATTCACTTTTTTTGTTATCAATCTACAAAGCCATACACATATCAATAAACATTAGCATGCTATCAAAAGTAATTTGGTTCAATAATCTATTCATGATTAAAGCCAATTAAGTATTTATTTCACACAAATTGATTGATATAGGCTTAGGCATAAACTAGCCATTGTATATTTCTAGTAAAAATAATTCGCTGCACCTTTCTTCAATATACAAAGCTATACAGGTAGCAATAAGCAGAGTCAAAAGCAATTTGGTTCAATAATCTATTCATGATTGAATTTGAAGCCAATTAAGTATTTATTCCACACAAATTGGTTGATAAAGGCTTAGGCAAAACCAAGCACTGTGTATTTCTGGTAAAAAGCTGTGATTACATTTGCAAGCATGACAATACTTTATAGCAAAATATATATGTTTACCTCAAGAAATGACAATTTATACTCATTACCCTGTGGTGTCCACAAGTATAAACAAAAAATAAAAACAAGCAAATTTACATTGACATTATCAAGTAAAATCAACACTAGCACACAGACAAATAATGCCTCTTACAAACAAAATACAAGCACATCTATGGACAATAATTGTGCAGATGTGCTGCATGTTTATAAGCAGCATAATCTTAAGAGTGATACACATTATCGAACTAAAGATCTTAAAGGCATCGTTTAACAATGTTAAATCTGAGATGCACGGCCCTACGTGTTATCAGTGTCTGTCATAGGGTGTACATTGAAGCCCTAAAAAAAAAAAATCACGCTTCGAAATGATTCGAAAATTCTTTTTGGAGTGACCGGTTTTATCATACTCATTTTCCCCAATAGACCGTAGTGTTATGAAAACCGTTTTCGATTTCCTATCATAAATATCTTGATAATCAGAGAGGCGATTGGCTTGTAAAAGCCATGGGGTTCCTGACTGACCGAAAGGTTTATAATTATCATTGCAGCATGAGCTAAATCCAGGATTTTGTTTCAGAATCTGAGACAAAGTTACCGGATCCCTTTAAGAGTCATACTTGTTACATAATAAACAACATACCGGTATTTAAAGTGAATATTAATTCATTGTTACAGCCTCGATAAAAAGGAAACCAAGGCCACAAGAGTAAGTCATTTTATGATTAGGCTCAAAAGCATGGGAATGTTTTGGGTATTAAGGGGAAAAGGTGTCTCTACAATATGTACCAAATTATTTGGAATGCTAAAATATTCACACAACTTTCTAAAAAATCAGATACTTGGAGGGGGGGCGGGGGACAGAATTAAATGTGTATGTATTTCAACGCTGCACTATCAAGGTTTAGCTAAAGAGAAGTTCGCTATTAACAATACATGCAATATAGCGATAACAAATTTAAACAGTTTGAATGATGAAAAAATACTGTGTTGTAATATGGCAAGCAATAACTAGACCTTGTGCTACAGTGTAGTGTTACCCTGTATTGCATTGTCTAATATCTTCAACACATAAATAATAGTTATACCAGTATTCTGTTTCATAACATTTGTTATCAATAACAAGTAACTGTTTTAAGCTACTGAAATTGTTGCATTTGATTGGCTGAGAGCAAAATTGTGATAGAAATGTGACACTTGTTATTGATAACAAGTTTATATGAAACAGGGCCATGATGAAGGATAAATCTGTGGCAAGTATATTTTGTATGGATTCACCATGTCAAATAGCCATGACGTTATCAGCCTTAGTGCCATGGTAACAAGATAATTTATTACAATCCTGTAACCGTTCATCACTATGGAAACATAGCGCTTTTAAGAAGTGAGGTGTATATATATATATATATATATATATACTCATTAAAAAATAAGATTAAGGTACGAATGAACGAGGGTCTATTTGAAATACTGAAGAGAGCTGTGGCAAGCCTATTATGTATAAATTAATCTTGAACCCTAATCAGCTGTAATAAGATATGGCAAAATGTAATCACTTGATGCTCACTTGTACATAACTGTAGAAAAATATGGCAATATATAGATAGTAGCAGCACATCAACATACATGTAAAAGGAACTAATCTATTTGATATATTTCAAACATGCATAGCTTTATATTTGCATACATACAATGTACACAGTTGCAAGATGATCAACGGAGAGAAAATGCAAGATTATGTTTCCAAGGCGTTTATAAACGGTAACAAATAACAAGTGATCATCAGCATTTATACAATGTTATAAAATAGCTCTAGTACTTTAAGCATCGTGATTGGTCAAAAGGCGTCACATGACATGCACCTATTTTTGGTGCATGCACAATCATGCAAAAAAAAAGCTGTCAAAAACGATATGGCACGGTAAAAGATTGATATCCAGCGCAGCGAACGCGAAGAACAAGTAGCAAGATCTTATCTTTTCGTTTCTAGAACCAACATAACTCTCCTAGACTCTAACGTTAGATTTAGACTTTTGTTTGTTTTGATTTTCATGTGTCGCTATTTTATAAAACAAATAACGCACTTGACTCTGTTGTGTGTAATGTAAATGCAGTTTATGCTAGTTTCTTCAGATGGTGCGCACTGTGAACTCGCCGCAAGCGGCTCATGCACAGAGGCGGTACCAATCTAAAGAAACCTGGCGTGCACTGCATTCACCACTCATGAACGCTGGGCCGTGCGTTATTTGTATAATAATGTAGGTCCTAATAAAATGACATGATTGGCTTAGAGCAGACATGTGAGGAGACAGTCTGAAAGCATACCTGTTTATTAGAAAGTGTATTCTAATGACCTGGGCAGCATCCCATTAAAGCATGTGTATTAAAATCAACACACGTTTGAATGGGATGTCGGTGAACTTGTACTTATGACGTTTTTGTAAGATGATGCCCAGTCTGTTAATCATCTGGATCTCACTATGTGAGGTGATTCCAGATGTATAGAATTGGGAAAAAGGTGATAAATGTTAATCAATGACAAGGACCCTTGTTACCACTGTATAATCGAGGAGGCGAGTTGGCTCAGTCGGTAAAGCGTCTGCCTGTCAAACCAAAGATCGTCGGTTCGATTCCAACCCAGGCAGATGACTGAAGCCTGCATTGTGTGTTAACATGCCCCTCCCCTTAATAGTGTACAGTATGCATATTATCCTCAATGGTAATCACTGAGGTATAACAGTACTACAGTGAAACCTGTCTATAAAGACCACCCAAGGGAGACAAGAAAAGTGGTCTTATAGGCAGGTGTTCTTTATGTACAGGTTCCTTTAGTACGTGTTTCAATGAGAAACCATTTTCAAGGGAAACAAAAAATGTGGTCTTTGCAGACAGGTGGTCCCTAAAGCAGGTTTGACTGTACACAAACGCCCTCACTGATGTACATGTATATTACACGGATACTAGTGACTGATGATCATCTGGGGCTAGTGGTGGAGAGTCGTCTGTCGTTCGACCAGTTTCTTGATGGTCACATGACGCGATGCCACCTCGCTGCTCAGAACATCTTTCTCCTGGAGATGCTGCACAAGCTGGGAACATGCATCTGCAACAAATAACAATAGAACAAGTAAACAATAACAATACCGTAGGTCTTTTTATATAGCGCAGCTACTATATGAATATACTCTACTGCGCTTAATACAAAGTATCATATTATTACCCCGGGTGTAGCTTAGCTGCCATAATAAGGCGCTAAAGCATTCAAGGAATTTATTCCTATCGGGTACCCATTTACCTGGGTGGAGAGTGGCAAATGTAGATTAATGACTTGCCAAAGGACATTAGTGCCGCAACGGGACTGGGGCAATCCAGTCCAGTGACACATCTACTAGACCAGGACACCTTCAAGTTTAAAAAAAAAAAAAAAATCATAATTATATACCTTCTTCTTCTCAAGGCACTACACAAGCCCTACCCAGACACGATCCTTTATGTTAAAGCCTCATACAGATATTTCTTACCTGCAAATCCTTCTACCACACTCCACACAACTAATTATAAATCATCCATCGATTGCACCACAGTATGAAAATCATTAAAATCTTCATACACGTACATCTCAGAATGAAACATTACAAGTGCTCCATCCCCTTCAACTTACAAAATAAAATTGGGCCATGGCTAGTTATTACCTTATGCTCTATGATTAAAAACAAATATGGAAGCCTTCGACTCACCATTGACTGCACTCTGCAGCATCTCAACGTGACTCTTCAGTTCAGGCACTGTCATCCCTGGTACTGGATATAAAAACAAACAAAAGCTTTATACAGTGAAACATGAAGAAAGAAAAAGGAAAAGCAGTGACACATATTAAGATTGCTCAAGGGAGATAATAAGAACGTTCTATACGGGCAGTTTGTTTTCATGTACAGGTAATAATAATAATAGGCAATTCTATAGCGCCGTCTATCTAGGAATTCTATTCCGAGGCGCATTTATTATTTCCCTTGCTTTAGCCTACTGTATATGTAGCTGCCATTACAGCGCTCTAGCATTTCAAGGAATTAATCCTGCCAGGTACCCATTTACCTCGCCTGGGTTGAGTGTGACAAATGAAGATTAATGCCTTGCCAAAGGATATTAGTGCCGTATCAGGGATCGAACCACGACCTTTAAATTTCAAGTCAAGTGCTAGACCACTCGACTACAACTTCGACATGTTTCAATGAGTGTTTTTCTTCTAGGGGAAGTAAAATATGTGGTCTTTATAGAAAAATGGACTTTGTTCGCTACGAGCAAGGTTCTCTGTCTTATTATTGGTGTGTATTTTTACAGCTTTTCAACAATGAGTAACATTTAGCAAATCAACAAATAGCTAACCAGGCAGGCATGCACTTACAGGACTCTTTGTTGAGGTGTCTGACATCTCTCCATAATTCTCTATTATCATATGGACGAACATCGTCCTCTATCCTCTCCTTCAAATTCATCTCCTTGTTACCATGACTACTGTCAATGTCTCTTTCTGCAGCACCGAACGTTGTTTTTGTATGGCCATTCAAAGTTCTGGAGTCATTTGCATCACTGCAGCTTTCAGCCTTAGTTTCTTGATATTCTTCCGTGTTATGTCCATGGTGTTCTTGGTCTTTTAGGGACAAAGTACGCATCTTTGTTAAATACTGATCAGGATTACTGTGGCAAGATTTATATGGGCTACTTTCAAGTTTGCAAGAAGTTTGGCTGAGAGAACTATCTGGCGATTTCTTGCTATCATTATCAGTTAATCTAGTTGCAGGCACTTCGTTGCTTGGACCACACGATCCATCTCTGATAGGATGGATGGGACGCGGTCGCTGCTCAGGCACTTTCAAGTTTTGTTTGCCGTCTCCTTCGTGCTTTCCAAACAAGTACTTGGTGTAGCTCCGGCGCAGCTCGTGGATGGACGAGTCGAGGAGAGGCTCGCTCCTGCATCTCTCGGCATCTCTCAGCTTCCCGATCTGACTCGCGCCGGAGAACTGAGGACTACCGCTGCGTGAGCCAGGATTGCTCTTACTCATGTGGTTACGAATGTTCTCCAGGAGAAGTTCGTTGCCGAGGTTGTTACTTTTGAAGTTCAGCCACTGAGTAGTCCTTATATTGTCCGTCTACAAATTGGCAATGCAACATGGAAAAGTGAGAGAAAAAATAACCATCAGTCTTAAAGTTCAAGGACTTCATGTTCAGATATGACACAGGTACATTTTCTGTCATCTTTTACAAAGTGTAGGCTTCAATTATTTAAGCTCTAGCTAGTACAAAAATTACTTGAAGATGTCATTCTGTTTAATGAAGAAAAAAAAAAACAAGGACATTGCTTTGAAAACACAAAAATAAATAATTTGAATTATCAAGTGAAATTACTGTGCAAATTTTGTACATTAGATACTAAAAAGAGGAAAGAAAGAAGAAAAAGGCTGTACAAAATCATTGTTTCTCCTTTCATTATCCTTACCTGCGATTTGCTCTGCAGCTTCATGGCAGAGCGGCTCAGTCGTCGGGCCAACTTGTGGAACTTCCTGAAGCACGAGGCGTGTGCCAATGTGTCTGTGTGGATCAACTCAGGGAGCTCGTTGAACCCCTCCTGCACAGGACCACTGGTCAGGTACCTGGCACAGACATCGCAGGTCATGAGTTCTTGCCCCGTGTCTTGTAAGCAGATTTCACACTCCTTCTCATCAAGACTTATGCTCACAAAGCTGTCATCTTTCCCAGAGGAACCCATCCTTCGTTCAAGTCATCCAACAACATTTTCCAATGCCGACTGTAATCCACAGAAAAAGAATCAAACAAGATTAATAATCATTTACTACAGCTTTAATATTTGCAATTAGCAATTTAGTAAAATGAGACTGCGATCGGATGAACATTATGCACATAATAATTATAATAATAATACACAACATTTATTAGGCGCTTAATACAGGTGTCTGTAAGCACACAAATGTCTGACTAAAAAATTATTTACCAAAACTTATGTACTGGTAAGCCAAAGTTCTACATGCCCAACGCTTTCAGCCAAAAAAGACACACATTTTTTGTACAAGACCCATACATCCATCTTGCTACATTCTATACTTTCGATTATCCACAAACGGAGCAGCATCATTATTCATGAAGAAAGGTCACTAACCAGTCTGAGAATGAGGATCGTCCTAATAAGTGAGTCCACATAAACGTTGACAAAATGCATCCTCAAAAATGAGGATGGTCTGCATTTTCAAACGCTGACAAAATGCGTCTTCAAAAATGAGGATGGTCTGCATTTTCGAGGCCGTTTTTTTCATCGGCGCACTGCGGGTTGCGGGTTTCGGGTTACAGAACCGCCCGCTGGCGATGCCAAAAATGGATTCCCTGGGGGAAATTAACCCTAGTTCACTGTCTACTTTTACGGGTTGTCCGTCTTCCCAAAGATTTATTGCTCATAATGTGAAGGTCTCTGTATAAAGTCAGTGTAAAATGCATCAAGAAAATCATCGCGGAATCTGTTTTTTGCATTGCCAATGTACCGATCAAAAATATGAAACGTCTGCGAAAATGCAGACGATCCTTAATTTTGAGGACGCATAGGTCCACGTTTACAGAGATGATCCTTGTTTATGAAGACGATCCTTATTCTCTGACCAGCTCCCCTACTTCTTCTTCTTCGTGTTCTTTCTCCGCTTTTTCTTAGATCAGCGATCCCATGGGCCGCAAGACATATAAATAGACAGAAGCACAAGGTAAACATCAAGGTCATCACTGACCTCACTGCTAAACAGCAAACATCACTGCTAACAGTGTCACCTGAGACTGAGCCACCACTGAGCCATATCGGCGGTTCTGTGATGGTCTCTCGAGCTCTTTGTTTCAAACCCCCAAAACAAACGAATATAATTTCATAAATCAAACAAATTACAAACAATTCATGAATAAAGATTGAAAAAAACTAGTTCTGATCGCCAACACCACAACATTCAGCAGAAGTCACTCAAAATCAAGAGGAACAGCAATGTATAGAAGGGAAGACAAAGGCATTGTCATACTCATAGTCATAGTAGTAGTAGAGTCTAGGCCTAGGCTCTAGACAGAAATAACCGTCTGATTTGGTCATTTCTTTCATAAAACTGACATTTGTTGACATTTCTATAATCGGAGGTCTAGTGGAGCCAGACGTAGTCTAAGTGGAACAACCGACGATTAGAGAGACTGAAGTTTTCGGTCTAAGTCAAATCAAACTATTTATGCTTATGTTATGACATGGCTTTCCTGGCTGGCATGGCACAGTTTCCTTCATCACCATATCCGGAGCGCCGCGGCTCGCACCACACAAAGACGACACAGACTACAGCTAGCTGCAGAGCACAAACGAGCCACTTTCCCATCGACAAAGAATAAATACAAAATCATAAATGCACGTTTTCATTCGATCATTGGAAATTTCGACACACTCATGAATCCATGATGGAATGCAGCAATTTCTTCTCAACTATACCATGATCTTGGGTACTTACAATAATCACATTTCGTCTGATTCTATCCGTAATTCTATCAATCATTTTCATCCGCAATCATCTTGTTTGACAGCTAGTCGTCACTTCAGCTGTTCGGGAGTAATTAAAATCTGTATGATCATATTATTCTTGTTACAAGTCTTGGATAGTCGATTTTTTTCTCTTTATTCGAGAGATGTTGTCTCTGACCAGGCTATTCTTTGACCTTATCGACTAGAGAAAAACTGGGGAAAAGAAAGAAAGGTGAAATGGGGGGGGGGGGGGGGGTTATGAACTTGTGAGAGACTGTGAGAGCGCGTATCAGAATAATTAATATATACCGCCTCGACAATCACCCTCCGGAAAATTAATTACCCCCAAGGACATTACCAGGGGTGGATCCACAAAAAAAGGGGGGGGGGGGGAGCGCACATCCTCCCACATATTTCCTTTTGAGAAAACAAAAATAGCAGGAAAAAAGAAAAGAGGAAAGCTAAGCTAAGAAATATTCACATAAATGCTCACATACGCATTCAGAAATGCCTGAAAATGTATCCCCTGGTCGTAAAGGCTTTGCACTCGCAATTGTGTACAAGTTCACGCCCCCCTTGAAAAATTCTGGAGCCACCCTTATCACCCACCCTCCCAGAAAACTACCTCCCCCCCCCCCAGGATAATTATTCTCCAGGGTTGATTGTCCACGGGGGGGGGGGGGGGGTAGCCGCACTATTTTTTTTAGTCAACACCCCCTCCCTTATGAGCGATAAGCGGGGGGGGGGGGGGGGGGGTTGGAGGTGTTAGCGAGCACTAATGTTGTTTTTATTCAACACCACTCCCCCAAAAAACAAAAAGGCAAAATTGTGGTTACCATAATTTTTCCCTTTTTTTCCAGGGGTGGGGTCCCGTCATCTCTTTGTTTTAAAGGTAGAATTAACGTTACCATCTTTGTTAAACCTTTTTTTGGGGTCAGGGGTGGGGATCCGGGCCCCCTGAGCCCGCCCCCCCCCCCCCACCTGGATCCGCCCCTGGTCCAGGAGGAGGAGGAGAGGAAGAGATAGAGGGAGAGAGAGAGAGAGAGAGAGAGAGAGAGAGAGAGAGTGAGAGAGATACAGAGATAAAGAAAGGGAGGGTGAGCCTGGTCTGAACAAGTTTTGTGATCCCTTCGTTTGTACTTTTTTACACAAAAACCGTTTCTATTCTATTTGTCATCTTTTTTCCCCTTGTCTTTGTTTCTCTTTCTTCATCGTCTCTCTCTTAATCTTGCCCTCCCCCTCTATATATATCTCTCTCTCTCTCTCTCTCCTTCACTCTTAAAACCTTGTCCATGCATTAATTTAGCAGTAGGCTTCCTTATTAAGACGGATTATACTGCCCATATTCACAACATAATGAAGTTGCAGGTGTTTATTTGTTTAAATTTTATTTTGCCTTTGTACGATCGTCTTCTGTTCCTGCATGCACTGTATTTGTTACTGTATATGTCGTTATATTTGTAACCCTGCATCATGTCAGTTGATGAGGAAACATTTCTTGATATTTCTTCTGGCAGAGGACCTGGGTAATTTCGATGTAATATTTCTTTATAATAGCATTCTACTGAAATAAAGATGGTTTATTAATTTTAGATACGCTCATCTCATTAAACTGTGATCAATAAATGTTTTAAGAATTGTTTTACATACGCTGGTGAAAAAATCTGGAATAATTTACCTTCTGCTTTTCAAAATTCTAAATCTATCGATGTTTTTAAACGTATAATACATGAACAAATTTTGTAAACCTGTGTGATACAGTGCCGATTCATATACTGCTCTTGAAATGGCTTATTTCTCTCTCTCTCTCTCTCTCTCTCTCTCTCTCTCTCTCTTCTCTCTCTCCCCCTTTCTCTCTCCCCTCTTTCTTTCTCTAGCTCTTTCATTTTTTTTTTTACTTCCTACCAATTTCCTTATATCTTTTCTCCTCTTCTAATATTTTTGGTGATATTTTAATGCCTTTTATTAAAGTGATTTGATGTTTTTCGCTGTCAATTTCAACTATTACATTGTCGTTTTTTGTTTTGTGCTTTTTACTACTTTTAATGCGTTTTAAATAGCTTGTTCTTACCTTTGCTTGTGAGCTTTGGTGATATTCATTATTTATATTTCCGTGTACTACATTTTTATCCTGTTCAGGAACACTATGTAAAACAGACTCTGTATCTACAATGTATAACTCATTCTTGTTATCCTGAATAAACATATTTCAATAAAAAAAATTAAAAAGATAAAAATAAGACACTTCAACTAAATGAACTGGGTTCGAGAATGACACTTGTTTAATTTGACATCACAATAATGACATGTATTTCTTTCTGTTTGTACAGTAAAAGAGCCTTGCAGACTTTCAAGAGAGATGCGACGAATTACAAAACATCCAAGGGTTCATAGAGATTGTTTTACATTTCAATAAACATTCAATACTCAACAACGTAAAGGTGAGACGACAGAATGAAACGATACACCAAAGGCACTTTATCATTTATAGCAAAAAGAAGTATTGAAAGTTTACAAAGTATTGCACTGAAATTCAACACGCATATAATATACATGCTCTGCGAGTGCAGCTTGAAACGATTCACCATTAGTTTTTTTGCGACAATAATCTTGTCTCATTTGGGGTAAAATTGATATGTAATTCCACTTCCACCTATAATGAATGCACAATTTGAATCTAACTAATCATCTATATATATATATAATTTCAAATATAATTCAATGTTTTAAAGAAATCCATTTGTTTTGTTTTTAAAGGTTAAATTAACCTTTAATTTGAATGGTTTATCACATCTTTCCATTCAATTCAACACCATAAACATCAATACATCATTGCCTTAGCCATGTTTGCATATCCGCAAAATTCATTTGCACATTAAAATCCAGCCCATGTTGAAATATTGAGACATTAAGCCCACAGAAAAAAGAAGAAAAAACCTTTATAATTCACGAGCCACCCTTCAAGTAGACCATTTAATTTGGTGTCCAGACCAGACCGATGAGTGATTAGTAATAATTTGCTTCATAATCACTCATTATAAACAGATATTGAAACTGCCATTAAATTAATGATGTATACATGAAGTTAACAACAAACTTATTCATTCCCATTACCAAGTTATATATTTTTATGTGAAAATTGATTTGTCGCGATTTATTATGATTAAGAATGTAACTATTGAAAGTCTTGAAGTATTTACCAAAAGCTCTAATTCAACCAGTCCACCTTACATTTTTTATTTATAACAAACACAAACACGTCAAATTTACAAGGGGTATGGATAATTTAGTTGTTGGCTGTATTTTCTACAACATGACGTTGAATATTAACTTAACATTTGTTTATGATTTACAGTTATTATTAGTATGACATTTTGGAATCAGTTGCCAATCGGTATAATATCAATTTTGAATTCGGTAACATGATGTTTTTCCGTTTCCCTTTGTTTCCAATAAGGAAATTGTAACTTAAATCTTTATCAAACGTTTGAAATGAACGTCGTTATAAGTAACGGTAACATCTGTTTGAATAAGAAAATAATAACAGGTTTGTTCATCCCGTATGAGGACGTCAGTAGTATAAAAGCTTTTTCACAAGATAGATTTGCATTCGACCTTTACTTGAACAAAATATAATGTAGAGCAAAAGACGTCATATGCTTTAATGAGATATACCATGCTTTGGCTTATACACTTACACAAAAAAAGGAAGTAAAACTCATCGCCGTCATAATCTTAGAAAAATAATATTCTTACGAACAGCGCCACCACCGGATGAGTTGAATATGCAGCGCCACCAACGAACGAATTGAAAATGGATTACAAGTAATCAAAGTAAAAATCATGGTCTACTCTAATCTAAATCCTTGCCAAAGTTAAACTTTCCTAAAATGCGTAAATCTTATCCTAACCGGCCAACGGATAATTAAGTTTGTACATTATTTTAAAAATCCGAAAGAAAATATATTACATTCATTTTTCAGATGATTTGAATGTCATTAAAGAGGCTCAAAATAACAGCACTATTGCTTCAATTAACAATAGCATGAAACCTTTATTTACACCACCTATTAAGAATATCTAATAGTTCTAATCTATATGATAATAACATGTAAGGAAACATTAGTAAAGTTTTGGAAATCTTTGAAACTAATGAAATAACACCCGTATAGTGTTATGTTGAAGAGTATTTTCAAAATATACATTCATGATTTAAAAATGCAAATCTACAGAAAAATGAAAAGAAAAAGATTTTTTTGGGGGGTGATTATTCACCTGCATTCACTCTGTAAGCAGTATCGTAAAAACAAACTTAATTGAATACATTACTAACCTAATCGAATACATTACCCGGATCAACATAATGAAAAAATATATATCACAAAATAAAAATATATTATGCAACTGTCAACGGCCACATACTGTGTTAGTATTTAATATTCGAAAATGAAGTCCAAGTTCTAAGCACGTAGACGATAACGCCTCTTATTTTGATTCGTGCCATGGTATCTTTGAAATTTCAAATTCCCACTTAATAATCTGCTATATAAGGCCTTTAAAAAAATGTTGTATTGCCCTTTGCGACCGAACCCAAAGTCTAGATTTTTTGTTTTTTGAAACCGTTTTTTAGAGAGAAAAAAATAAAAGCATTACAAAATAAGAAACTAACACAGCCCAAAGAGGGAAAAATAAAAGGAAAACAAGTTTTAAAAAAATAAAGATTTCCGACCGACCGACCCATGTTTTAGCACCTAAAGGGCAATATAACATCTTTGTTTAGGCCTAATTATGACAAGATATGGAACAATAACAGTGAGGTATATTGAGTTTCTAAAACTTCCTAGCACGTACTAGCAGTTCTAGACGAGAGGGGGGGGGGGGATAAAGCCTCCTCCAATATCTTGATTAGTAATGAATTTTAGCAAGACACATTCATGAAGGCAATGAATGCAAGAACCCAAAGCCCCCCCCCCCCCGGTTTTAAACATCTCAGTTGCCATCAGTAGAAGAGCCATCATAGGTTTAAGCAGGGGTATACTACTGATCAATTTGAAGACCCAGTGATACAAAAACAAAATTTAACTAACACTCGACCCAGTTTAGCTGGTCTAATGTTAACACTACAAGCATAATCATACGTCAAGAAAGGATTCCGCCCTCTCTCATTCTTTTGGGGATATGCCACACAACATAACATATCAATTTTATCTTAATGTTTTACCAAATTTTGCACTGCCTTAACATTTGACATCGTAAAATGATGGAATAAATCTTCCATTCACCTGAAGAATTCTAAACGCGTCTTCGTCAGATTCGCAAACAGACTTCACATAAGAAACTGGCTTCCCAAACTTACCAACACGATACGTTAAATATTATGATGCTTTAATGTAAGACAGGAAACTTTATCTTATTCTCAGGAATCGAACAATGTACAATCAAACAGATGGTTCCTTTTATTGGTATTTTTCCATCTAGTTAGAGCGTCTTTGCAAAATGTATCAAATCCTTCTACTTTTCTACAACTTTGTTCAAGTCCTCTGGGGTACGCATAAGTAGGCCCTATATCAAATTGTGCAGCATTATAATTTCGTGTCTATAGTTAGTCCCGGCATAGACCTCCTGTACTACATTGTTTAAAATCTCCTTGGCCCTTAGCTGCTTTTGCATTTGAACTCTCAATGTATCTACATTTTATCTACACTTATCTACATTTTAACTTTCATATCTGATGACATGAAAACAAGTGAGATTATGGGGAACAAACATTTACGATAAAATGATTATTTTCCTCTCTTTATCATCATTCTTTGGTGAAAAAGTGGAATATGGTCACGTATCAATAATTCTATCAAGATAACGATTTCATTCACAATTAACCTGAAAGGTCATTATCAACAAGAAGTTTCAACATTATCGCAATACTAAAAAACAAAAACAACCTAAGGCAGTTTCAATCGCTTTGTTGTGCATCAGTCCACCTTTTGAAAATTTAATTTGATTTAATTTAAAATTAAGATTAGCATTACCATGATACCAATGGCATATTACATAATCCGACAATTTTCTTCTTTAGACAATACAAAGATGAAGACAGAAACATGAAATTGCCCTTGAGTTGATTTCTTGAAAGTTTTTACGATCGTGTAGTATTGTCAGAGGGATACAACGATAACGAAACATCGTTCGATCAAGAAAATGTCTTGGTTCTTGGTGATGGTGTCTTATTGGCAATTGGCAACATACATTCTAACTTTACATATACTTATTTCATCATTATGTCGATCAAATAGTTGATGTTTAACTAGTTCAGAATCTGGCCGGTTCTTATATTTTTTAAAACCTCATTGATATTCCCTACACTTACTTAAAGCCGCCGATGATGGCGTTATCAACGAACTCGTATCAGAAGGCGTAGAAATTCGGGGATCACGTCATCTTCAGCTTGCAACAGAATAACGGTGGTGAAGATTCTGGACTAATGTTATTTTACCAGCCATTAATGAGGAAGGAGGAAGTCAGCTTAGACTGGATCCGGTGAGAAGATAAAATAACATACATTTAAGATTTATTTTCTTCTTTTTCCTTCCTCGCTTTTCGCCTATTGAGACAGAGAAGTACGATGAGCAAAACAGACGCGAAGGTTTGGATGATACCGAGTAGAATGAAGGATTGATCGTAGCTTCCGAATTGGTCGAACAGCCAACCTGCAAATACAGAACACGTGAGAAGCAATCAGAAAAATGACGAATTTAGTGTAGCCAATGTCAGAACATGAAGTACGAGATATTATTATTAGATTATCAGGGATCATAAAGAGGACAACAAAGTACAATCTCTGTGATATGGTATACAAATAATAGATGTTTACGAGCGTATCCGGACACCTACCCCCTGAAGTCCTGGACATCTACCCCGGATAACCACCCTCTAAGATGTACTACCCCGTAGGACAACTACACAAGGGTAACCAGGTTCTAGGACGACTACCCCTTAGGACAACTACCCCCGGACAACTACCCCAAGACAACTACCCCCAAGGTCAATTACCCCTAGGACAATTTCCCCCGGAAAACTATTACCCAGACAACTACCCCCTAGGACAACTACTCCCGGACAACTATCCTAGGGGGTAATTGTCTGGGGGTAACGATTTGAAATTCTTTGTTAAAACCGATTATTGTGAGTGATTATACCTGTCAGGAAACCAGCTGACATCCGTCCAATCCCAGCGAATCCGTAGGACCAACCCAGTGCATTGGGAAATCTTTCCATGCCGATGGACTGCTTAATCACAACCACAGCTATCGGGAAGAACACGCCGCTGGCTGCCCCGTAGGTAAGCGAGGCTGTGATGAGAGCCCCGTAGCTATTCAACACAGGATCAAGCAGCATTGGCGCGGCAGACAGAAAGGAAGAAATGGTGAGAAGCTGTGCAGCAGTAAGTATTTTATAGTCTACAATCAAACCATGCCCAGCTCGGGCGACGATGTTCGACACACCGGCAACTGAAGCTATGAAGGTGGCCTGAAGAGGTGCGATTCCTTTCTCTTGTGCGTGGGGCACGAGGTAAATAAGCCAACCCATGTAGACAAACCGCCCACAAAATTGGACGACCATGAGAATGATAAAGTAAACGTCTTTGAACAAAGATAGGCCTAGAAGCGAGTAGCATCTTTCCGCCCTTGTCTCTGCTCGCGCTTCGTCCTCGTCTCCTGTCTTTAACGTATCGCATTTTTCTACATCAGTTACTGTACGATCTTCCCCATCGTCTACATACACCGATCCATTGGTGTACCCGTTCTCTGTTTCAGTCTTCTCTATATGTTTGAGCTCAAATGATTCGTTGGATTTAATGTTATTGTCTTTAAAGCCATTGCTTTGCGAAACAGGTCTAGTGTTTTCTGCACCCTCATCATCATCTTCTGGTCCTAGATCACACATTATTCCTTTTGAAACGTATTCCTTTTCATCTATGCAGTCATCCGACTCGACCTCTACCGATTTATATTCCATCTTGTCCTTTCGTCGTCTTTCAGGACTAGGTCTAACTTTAATTGGACGCAAGAGGGTGCCACACACACTGACATGGAAGCACAGCGCCCCTATTATGAAGAGACCTCCTCGCCAGCCGTACGTATCTATGAGGATCTGGGCTAACGGCGCTAGGACCAGGATCCCTACTCCAGACCCGGCGTACGCTAGACCATTGGCAAGACTGTATCTCTTCTCGAAGTAATGGCCAACCATTGTGAGACTTGGCGTAAGAGCAAGACCTAGACCGATACCTGAGACAAGAACAACAACAAAGGATAATGTGGTCATTATATTTCGAAAATCGTACTATTCTTACTTCTGTTTGAATCAGAACCTTTGTTTTAAGATAATACGATATATATAACAGCGAAGTTCCTTGAACATATCCCACCCGAGAACGTCTTTTTATATCGCATGTTTCTATGTTTTGATTGTGTCCTATATTGCAAATCGACGTCACAATGCAAATAAAATTACACATTTGCCCAATGGCTTTTAGTGGTATGTATCTCTTGGCATCTGATTTTGGGGTAAGAACGGCTAATATATCCTCACTGACATGGCAAACACATAATTAAGAAATAACGATTCAAAGTAATACAACATAAAACAAAAGAAACGTTGATGAATATCAAATGCATGATTTCGAGATTGGGTTGATATCGTACGGGATAAATGTGTAGCTGGTATTTTGATCATCAGAGGAAACCACCCCTGTAACCTTGAATAATTTGAAAAATAAGAGCTGAAATAAATATGGTTCATAGTTCAAGTTCTGCCACGCCACTAGTGTCTTTTGGCAAAACTGCCACAATCGACCCAGGTGAGGTAAATGGGCACCTGGCAGGAATCTATTCCTTGAAATACTAAAACGCTATAATGCCAGCAATGCTAAACTTTACGAGGTTACATGATAACATTGGCACATTGTTAACATTCAAATTTGTCAAGTCCTCTTTGGAATGTTTAGCAGCATGATTGATTCGTCGACATCCGCTAATACTGGTTTGCTAGCGTTTTAACGAGGTAGCAAATCCAGGATAATAATTTTGGAGCGCCAGGAGTGTCAAGTCTGACATACATGAGCGCTAGAGAAACACTCACTATTATTATCCTTACTACAGTCAAACCTGCTTTAGTGACCACCTGTCTCCAAAGATCACATTTTCTGTTTCCCTTAAAAATGGTTTCTCATTGTAACATGTACCAAAGGCACCTGTCTACAAAGACCATCTGTCTACAAAGACCACTTTTTATATTTCACTTGGGCGGTCGCTATAGACAGGTTTGACTGTATTAGTATCCTTATTATTATCATACGACATGATTACCTGATATTGATAGACATATTGAGAGCTGACTGACGTCGGTAGTACCAGCAGCTAATATCAGACCTGTCCCACCAAAGAAGCCTCCAGCCATAGCAATCGGTCGACAACCAAAACGTCTGCATAACGGACCACTTATCAAACCTGGAAAACAAAATAGAATCATACTCATCAGTGTGTAACCATTGAAATAATATTGAAATAATGTCGATAGTCATATTCGTTTGTCTTGCAATGTATGGTCAACAAGATCCTTGTTGACCATACATTGCGAGACAAACGAATATATCACTAGCGATATTATTTTCGATACTACATCCGCAATGAGTAATATATTTAGCAGTATTGAAATAGTATTTCACTGTTATTATGATTTTTTAAACGATGTTAAAGCCCCTCTAAAGTGTTAGAAGTTCCAAAGATCTGATGGAAAAATTTCATTTAAATTGTATCATACTGTGAAAAAGGATGTCATTCAAAACACATTTCTGCAAAGATTTTTAAAACAAATGTGTTTGAAAGTCAAATATTGATGAAAGAAAACAAAATGTAGGTTTTCTTCGAACAACAGAAAACCGAGATTATGTATTCTTTAATCAATATTTGTCCTCAAACACATTTTTTTTTCGGGGGGGGGGGGAATCTTTGCAGAAGTGTGTATATAATGACATCCTCTTTCACACGATTATACAATTTAAGCGAAATTTAGCCATCCAAGTGTTGGCTCCCAACACTTTAGAGGGGCTTAAAGTGTGACTGATGCCATATGACATTTTTATTCAATATTATTTTAAAAGCCTTGAGTGGGAGTACCCCGGTCAAGAACTGATTCTCATTTTACTGTCTTATATCATAATACATACGACTAGCACTCTCAGCAGTATATGTAATTGGGTTTATCCGATCTAGGGGACATGATAGGGCCAGGGGATTAAATCTATTACATATCAAGTTCTTTTTATAACAAATAGGCCTATTGGATTTTGTTAAGTTTTTAATAGATTTAATGAAAAGTATCAACGAGGACTTCTTACTCATAGGATAAAAAGATGCTCCATTTAGCATACCTCCTAGTACAATTCGTCATGAAACCCCTAACAATAAAAAAATAAAAAAAATTCACGACAAAAAATCACACTTTTCATTCAGAGCTACCATACCTGTAAAATCAGCAAACGTGACGCAGAGCGAACTAATCCAGCCAATCAGAGACGTGGACACACCGAAGTAAGTTCGGAAGGTTGGCAGGAATACACCAAGGCACTTAGCAATCCCCTCCCTGAAGATGAGCGTGCAATGGGCAGCCAGCAGGATGAACCAGCCGTAACCTAAGCAACAACATGTTAAAAATTAATCAGAATACGATCGCCTAGACATTCGAGAAATAATAATAATAATATTCAACTTTTATATAGCGCTTAAAGCTATTCTGTACTAGTGTGGACATGAGGGATTAGACCACCCAGGGCGGTCACTGACAGGTGACTATCTCATCAACTTAGCTCTCAATTAATTAAGAAAAAGAGGATGATGGGGGACCAACAGGCACCGATTAGGCATTTTTTTTTCTATATAGAGGGAGCAAGTAGCTACAAGTAGTGCAGTGGGGCTTTTATGCATCCTTATCCTCAATAGCCTTATCAAACACCTTTTTAAAACGAGTTCTGCGAATTCTACTTTATCCGAACAAGATTTCGATGGATAAATATTACAAAAACGGTAATGAAATTGCTCTTGAGTTGATTTCTCTTGTTAACTAGACTTTCAACAAGGGTACAATAATTACCTGAGTGACTCACTTTACATGGACATCAAACATTCACTACTAATTGCTGTTACTAAAAAAGAAATGGTTCGCAAACGTTAGGTCCGTTCAAGTTGTAGAACAACAGTCGATAGCTCCACCCACCCCCTCCCTCCTCATGGGAAAAAAACTGTGTCCAAGCGTTCATGATAATAGTTATTTGTACACATTGTTTGGACTCGTACTTAACTTGCTATGGTTATTTTGTCGGCAAGCTACATCTTGCCAAAAATAGGTATGATCGAGAAGAACCAGAGACAGCCCTTTAAGAACCATGACGTTTATTGTTGCCGAAATCAACTGTTTAATACACTGCTACTGAAACTATAACTCACTCAAGAGATGATCATATAGTTGTAACAATAAGTCAAAGAACAACGTAGTTTTTGTTTGTCTTTAACCCATCAAAGGAGATCATACGAGTGAAGAGATAGCCGAAACGGAACAGTAATTTAATAGCTTTATTTAATAGGCGCAGTATTTTCCTATGTTGGATGTGATGAAGAAAAAAATTCCATGGATTTCAGCCCGTTGGTTTCAGCGTCATTTAGGGACTTTTAGATTTGCACGTCGACATAGTGGACTGCTACGTGTGACGTCCTTTTAAGGCACCGTGAATTCCTTTTAAGGCATTGCCAGTGCCTTAAAATGACGTCACACTTAGCAGCCCACTATGTTGACGTGCAAATCTAAAAGTCCCTATTATTGGGTCCATACTCACCTCCGTCAGGAGCACGAGGTTTGTCTGAAGATGACCCCGAATCCTTTCCCGGCGACCTTTGAACTCTGCTGCCGTTCTGCGCATGCTGATTGACCTCCTGTGTTTTGGAATGGCCATTGGTGATTGGTTCCGGGTCTTCTTCATGGTAGGGCACGATGTCTTGAGAGGAATCCGAAGGCGGGAGCTTTGAATATTTGGTGAATCCTCTGAAAAAATAATAAATGAACAAATACTGTTAAGTTTCAACCTGTAGTGCTTTCGAGTAGTTGACTTTTTGTTCCCTTTTGTTAAGTTAAGCAAATATGCATCGCATAGGAGGCGTCGATTTGCTATGTTGGGCATGCATGTAAGCAGAAAACAAAAGTAAATACGCCATGCTGTGACTAGCTAAAACTAAGTAGGCCAAACTTTGTGTCTGCTCTTTGTGAGGACATGCAGATTCATTGATTAATAGGAGAGTTTTGCCGACCCGGTTCGAGTTGTGCTTAATATGGCGATTACCGCTTTGTTGTGAGGACATGCAAACCCAACGAATATACGCCATGTTGAGACCAACCAAACCAAGGTAGCCAACTCTGTGTCTCTGTGTAAGGGTTTAAACGCACGCCCTCTACTGTTAGCTGAACAAATAACATCAGATTACAATTTTAGGAGATTCTAAATCGTCTCAAAGCAATGAATTGGCTCAATGTACCATTCCAGACACTTAAGTGTTGAAAGATGTTGTTAAAAGCCTGTCTTGTGTTTTTGTTTTCAAGGAAAAACGGTTTGAAAAATTCAAAAATGGTTGGGAGAATTTACTGGTAGAGGGTGTCGCACAGTGACGCTTTCAAAGAAAACCACAAATATCTTTGTGGTTTGAGAATTTTCCAGGATTTTTCGCATGTTAGAGAGTTAGTACAGTAGAAGGAATATAAAGAGTAATGTTTTTTTCAGGATTTTTTTTTGCATGTTTCAGGGTTAGTACAGTAGGACGAAATTTATGGATAACTAACATTGCATATAAAAATTACGCAGTTTTTTCATCAACCTTCAACAAAGTTACCAAGTCACTTAATGTATTCGGTGACTTTGTGTGAAACATATGAGCATGTTTATCTGTACCATTGCCATGTTTTCCCGCCAGGTATTGACATTGATAAATCTGATCAACCTTCGCATTCCTTTTACTCAATAGGCCTGTTTTCATCAGCTCGAGATTGCCAAATAACCCGCTACTTTAACTATCCAGATCGCAAATTATATAGCTAATTTGCGTCTATATGAGCCCGCAGTTGCAATTAGCGGGATATTTGGTCGAGATAATCATCCCAAGATATCTTGGGATAGTTTGCAAAATATCCCGCTATTTGTCCCGTGCGTCATCACCAGCCCGAAGATATATAGTTGGCTATTTGGCAATCTCGGCCTGATGAAAACAGGATAAACCTGATATTTGGAGTTCGGCTTTACTTAATAGCATTCATTACGAACAACCGACCTATGACGTCATGTATATGGAAGCATGAATTTGAAAACCAATCAAATTACATTTTACGTCGAGGTTTGATTAAGAAATTGAACATGGTTTTTCTAAAGGGTACATGCATGACGACAAGTCTAGCTGTTCAATGTAGCCCGTACGATATATGTTATTTTCCTTCCATTTATATATCAAAAAATGAAAAACAATTTGATACGATCATTTTATAATGTGAATTGTACGTAGCAGAAGGAATCGTTATTAAACTGTCATATCAACTAAAAAAATATCATTGATTTTGGATGATATAAAAGTGTTATAATGATGTATACGTTTTTGTTAGTTTGTTTAATACAGAATCTCGACAGCGGTCAACAACGGTCAAAGTGGCCAAACTGACCAATATGTCAATAGGGTGAGGATTCATTGCATGAAACTGACTGTTCTGGGATTTGCGTGTATTTCTAAATAGAATGTTTCAAGTTTCAAGTTTCAAGTTTAATGTTCCACATTTTACAAAAAATATAAACATAAATATAAATTAACAAATTATACATTACAATAAGTGTAAATGAGCACATGTCAATGATTCTCAATTCATATAATAGATAATGTAGAATGTGAGGAACCTAATAAAAGCCGGGCTTGTATAATATAGGTTCCTGGAAGAAGAAAAAAGTAATGTAGATAACAAAACAGTAGCAGTAGAGAAACACGTAATTTAAAGGGGAGAATTTAAAACACAATGAAATAAGGAAATTTTTATACAAAATAATGCATTGGCACCAATACCCAGAGTCACCCGGTTGAAATCATGTTGATGATGTCATGCCCATCCGATGGTTCTGATTGAATTTTTTGTCTAACGTTGGCTCCACAAATGATGATAAAATTGTTATGTTAGATCAAAACATGATCAACCCGACTAAAAGGTAAATAATGTTGTCGACAAGACAATTTTACCCCGTATAAGGTCTTCAAACTTTACCTAGTACCCACAGTTCTGATTAAAGGTACTATGTCCCTTTTGCAGCCAACCTCAAATTCTGTAGAACTTTGCAGGAATTATGAATATGGCATGTATTTCCTATCTGTGAAATGTAAACGTTAGCAGTGTCCTAATATTCAAATTATGCAAGGAAACCCGTTTATTTGCTAGACTTCACTGTCAGACACTATCGAGTGACTGACTTGCTTTTCTTCTTCTTTGGTAATAACATACATAAAATGAGCTGTAAATGATACATGAGCATTTGTCTACATCAATAACCCACTTCTTGTAATGGCCAAAATTAAACTGATTGAATCTTTGCGCAGCATAAAACGTACGACCATTCGGTACAATGGTCTCAGAATCAAGACTATTACTTATTGGCTTCATAGCTTCTAATAGTCGATTTGACAACTAATAGTCGTTAGGCCACTTAAAGACATTTTCAAGCCCCCGCCCCCCCCCCTTTTTTTTTAGGGAAGTTCTAAATTAGTATCATCTTTCAAATGTCGTTGGAATTTAACCTTTTCATTTTTTGGGCCTGCAAATGGGACATAGTACCTTTAAAGCCCTTTATCTCCTAGTGTAATTCTCGATTATCAAGATTTTACACACTTGAATATTCGTATAAAATTCTTATGCAAATTCCTTGTCATTCTGATCGTAGTCGGGTTTTATAGCGTTTGGTGTATCATGAAAGATATCAGCCTTGTTGGAAAATAAAAAAATGTTATTCTTATTTTTAAAGAATACATTTTTGTTAAACATTACTTCATTGTTCAAACTTCACAACAAAGGAGAAGATACAATATTTTAAGACATTTTTATTTTACCGGAAAATGCAAGGCATTAATATATTTTTTGATAAATATCTCTCTATCTCTCGCTTTGTCTCTCTTTCTCTCTCCCTCTCTCCCTTTCTCTCCCTCTGTCTTTCTCTATCTCACACTTTTCCTGGATCTCCTGTACTGTCTGCACCATTATTCCCCTACCTCTCTTCTATAGTTCTCCACAGCCCTATGATGATTGCGAAATAAAATTAAGCAACTGTTAGCTGTTAAGCGAATTTTATGAATTGTATTAATTTGTATATATAATGTGTACGCTGATTTATTTAGAAAATTCATTCATTCTTAATACGATTTATGTTTCAATAAATATTTATGTTTTTACAATGTACACAATTCTGCAATTCAGCCATCTGGCTGCAAATGAATTTTTAATAAAATCATTACCATTACCATTACCATATAATTTTATATTTAAAACATCAACTAATTTTACAACATAGTGAGGACTGAGGAGTTATGGATATTCGTAGATATAGATGAAATAAAACGAGCTAAATATTTAAAATTAATTTGATATATCAACTTAATAAATAGGAAGCATATATAATGAGTATAATAAGAGTCATTTGGATTAATGTTTAAAGGTAAAGACCAGTTTTGGAAACGCCCCCCTCTCAAAAAATGAAATGGAAGCTCTTATTACCAATCATGTGAAAGAATATGTCTTGACACGTGATGAAACTAATTTTGCCGCGAAACCGCCTACTAATCACTGGCGTACCTATGGGGGGGCAGGGGGGGGGGCAGAGTGCCCCCCCCCTGACGGGCTCCAGGGGAAAAAAAGAAAAAGGGGAAAGAAAAGAAAAGAAAGGAAAGGAAAGAAAAAAAAAGGAAAAGGGAAGAAAAAAGGAAAGAAAGAGAAAAAAGGAAAGAAAAAAGGAAGAAGAAGAGAAAAGGAAGAAAAAGGGAAAAGAAAAGGAAAGGAATAAAAATGGGGAAATTAAAAAAAAAAAAAAAACCATGGCCGTACGCACCAGGGTGGGGGGCGAGTTGACTCCAGATATTTTAAAAACGTACATTTTTTTTCCTGAAAATGTAGTGTAGGCCTTTACCAAATCCTTCAATTCTACTTTTGAAAATGCAAAAGTACCCTCATGACCAGTTCGGTTGCTGGAACTCCCTTCACTCCTTTTGCTTTTGAGATTCTTCGAAAACTTTTAACGCATCTTTCCCCCTCCCCCACCAGAAAAATATTCCGCATACGGCCCTGAAAAATTAAAACAAATGAAAATAGGAAAATATAAATTCGAAACTCTTCGCTGGCGCGAACTGCTTGCTAGCCTATTTTGTATTAAATGTTTTCACTCGCTCGTCCCCCTGAAAAAAGAAAAGGATTAGTATTGCCTAGAATACAATTGTGCCTGCCCCGACGGGCCCCGACCTGCAACCATGGCAACAATAACACACAATATATGTACCAAATGTTACTAAAAGAGACTAATTCATTTTTCTCGCTCGCTACACTCGCTCGCGAATAAAATGAATAGACATTGCTTTGGAAACAATTGTGCCCACCCTTGACCTGCAACAATATCATTAAAAAGGGAAGAGTTTTTTCGCCCTCTCGCCAAAAAGGAATTGAATCGCGTTAAACGCGATTGCGTCCATCCTGACCTGCACCAATAAAAACAAGTTTATTTATTAATTTTTATTAAAAGAGAATTTATTTTTTTTGCTTGCTCGCTATGCTCGCTCGCCAAAATGGAATTGATACCGCTAACGTGCCCGCCCCAACCTGCACCAACCAGTTAATAATTATGTACCAAACGTTATTCAAAGAAGTTTTGGTGTGCTCGTGCTCGCCAAAACGGAATTAACATCACCTTAGACATGATTGTGTAAGCCCTGCCCTGCTCGCTCGCCAAAATAGAAATAACACCGCTTTTAATAATCACGTCCCTG